TAACCCTAACCCTAACCCTAACCCTAACCCTAACCCTAACCCTAACCCTAACCCTAACCCTAACCCTAACCCTAGTTAGAAAATGGGCTTCAGACAACATTAAAGAACGGTGGACTAAACGGCTCTCTGATTCACGCCAGAAAGCCGGACTAGAGGATGTTCTTGTACTGAAATCTTCTTTCAACACTGCTTGGAATTACTTCTCCGCAAAGGAACTCGGTGACACGATTTTCGGATACTGGCGGCGGTACTTAGATGCCGCCGAGGCCGATAGACTCAATCCTAGATCTATCGGCCAAAGTATACTCTCTGACTTCAGAGGCGACTTGGAAGGTGCACCGGATTCGCGCTTTACGCTTATCCGGACCCTTGCAGGAATGTCTCCGATGCCAGACATACGTAAACTAGATATCCTACATCGACGAATGATTGTTAGTCGCAAACGCACTAAGAATCTATTCGACTTTACTGGTCTTTGGAAAAAGATCGTAATCACCACGCTTGATCGCGACGTCACAGAACCGGATCGTCAACTGGATGATGAGGACATGGCTGTTTCATCTCCTTCAGATTCAGATAATGAAGACCCGTTTATCGCGATTTATAATGCCGGAATCTAAGATAAGCTGATTCCTCTCACGTTGCAGGCAAAGATTAATTTCCTCGCCCCGATTCAGTCTTTTCGGGTTGACCTAACGGTCCCCTTCTCGATAGGTCGCGGCTTGAGCCCACAACGGATAAGCAAGTTCCTTTTATAACACATGCTATAATATATAAACCTTGTACGTACCACGGCTTCTGCAATCACGCAGACGGTATTAACCGAGATCGTTTAGGAAGCTTACTAACCCTAACGCTAACTCTAACCGTGAGTAATATTTCTTAATCGAAATGACAACGGTCGTACTAACTATATGCGATAACTAGCTAACCCGGACCCTAACGGCTAACCCTAACCGGCTAGCCGTAAACCCTAGGTAAGAGTCCGGACTGACTTGTCAGGTAGCCACACCCGGCCCGTGACCATCACGGCACGTGATCTCATCACGGGGCATCACGAGGTATGTTATCACATCAGTACGATCACTGATCCAGTCATCAGATCTCCTCTGTTGGCATCAGTGCTTGCCAATGTTTGCCAGTCTGTCTATCAGATCTGATGAACAGGTGATGCGGCAGTGTTGATTCGTTTTGTTTGCTTTGCGTTCGGTCCAGGCCCTAGTGGCCCTTTGGTCAGGCTTGGACTGATGCGGCATCAATTCATCGCACAGCTACTGATCCCTAGTAATCTTATCTTGATTAGATATGATAGGCAATCTTATTGTCTCGCGTCGTCGATCAAGGTCTATTGTCTCTATTGTCCTATTGTTCTTATTGTTCTAGGACTGCACTATTGTTGTGCGCATGTAATCTGAATGTGTAAGCAGGACCTGAAGAGCTTATAAGCGAAACAGGTGAGCCGGTGAGTCTTCACCAGCCTGTTGTCCTGCAGCAGCTTCCCTCTTCTTGTGTGTTTCAGCTACTAAACCACCCTAACCCTAACCCACGGATTCGGAACTGGGGCCAGAGGACGCGGATTGGAGGGTGAGTTCGGGAATAGCGTCCCAGCTCTCGAAGACATCCTCCGAATCCAAGAAACTGGCAGTCCCAGCAGCTGCAGACTGCCCAGGTACGCCATCCGTCAAATCGACACTGGAGAGTTCAACTGACCACGCACCATCCCAGTCATCCTCGACGACATGCGCATAACCGGAACCCGAGTTTCTTGCGCCTTTTCCCCAGACTTGAGCTTAGGGCTGGGGCACTTGGACTTGACATGTCCCTTGCCCCCACGGTTCCAAAAGACGCCTTTCGGACGCTGCAGACCCTTCCCCTTCCCAGAACGGCCTCCAGCGTCGTTTCGCGACAACAACTGCGCAGAAAACTGGGCGCTCAGTGCCACACCCGTGTCTTCGCGCTCCGAACAGCCACCCACTAGACCCTTGCGTGCCAATTCCGCCTCCTTGCTGTCAAACTCCTCGATGGCGAGCTGCATGAGATAGACGGGATCGAAAATGGCAGCGTTGCAAGTGGCGGAGGTACCAGAAGTTATCGAAATCGACATGACACCAGCTGTCGGGCCCGCAGACACGGACCCAGCAGCGGTAGCACTGACCGCCGATTGCAACGCAAGATCCGCAGCCAGTAACGCAGCCTTAGCGGAGCTGGTCACTGTCGCCGGATAATTCTGGTAACAGGCAGGGGGGAGATGATGCAAGTGGCGTACTGAGAATCCAAAACCGTCAATCCGACCTGCATCAGCTCGAGATGCTTGGGCTTGAGCTCCTCGAGGTGAGTGCGGACATTTCCCTTTGGAGCGCACTGAACAGCGTTGAACGCAGCCTCCATAGACGCGATCACATGGCTCGAGAGTGCCGTGAATCTCTCCGTGATACACGACCACATCTCATGAACGGTGGTCTTCGAGCGAACCTCGAGGAAGGTCAAATCCTCAAGACGCTGGACCAAAGACTGGCGAGCCTCGTGCTCGAGCTTGTCCCACGCATCAACTTCGGTCTGCGGGGCAGGAACGACGACTCCAGCTTCAACGTGATCGTAGAGGACGGCAAGGTAGTGTCACAGAGCAGCTCGGACTACGCGCTCGATGCCGAGACCGTAGTTGACCTGGAAGGCAGCTCGCTCGCTTCCGGCCTTACCTTGTTCGGGTCGTATGTCGGATTGAGCGAGATAGAATTGGAGCCCTCAACGATGGACGGGTGGTGTTCGACGAGCTGTCGCAATGGGAAGAAGACCGCTACCCTGGGGGGGAGGGCCGAGCGAGGAGAGCTGCGTGTGGTCAGCGACAAGGTTTTTGAGTTCCACGATGCGTTGAAGGTGGGACCAATTATGATTTCTCGATGGAGGAGGGGCCCAGTTGACTTGTTTTCTTTACTCAGGTCCATGATCAGACACTGGCACGGAATGCGATGGGAAAGATAGTCGTGAAAGTACAAGACTCGTGACGTGGATTGTTGGCTACGAAGAATGATGTCAAATCAGCGCCTCGGCAGTTGCAAGTTTAACAGGCCAGGACGCGTCTCGAGATTAGCCTAGATAGCACATGACCGCGCACATGAGGGAATGCACTGCCCGCGTTGACTCATTCTTGGCTCACTTCGTGACATATTTGATCACACTATCCCAGCCTGCTCGCCCATGAACGCGTGTTCGTTCGACCCAGCCCTGTTTTGCTTATAAAAACAAGTTGTGCATACGAAGATGTTGTACCAAAGTGTCCAGCCTCTGTCACTCAGACCTCTGATAGCAAGAGCTCCCGCTCGTTCAGTTTGTTCTGCCTCAGCCCTTCGAGCCTGTGCCTATTGTTAAGCAGGTTGATCCTGCGCAGCCCAATCTGGTGCTACACACTCGTGCGGCGCCCACTTCCTCCCCACCTCTCGCGAACGCCCCTCTTAAATTCTCCAGTGCTGGGATACGGATGCGTTGCTGGCTGGTGATATGCGTCGTAGATGGACTTGAACACGTCGATGACCCGCAGCGCGTTGCCCGTCCTGACAGCTATGGGCCGACAAGCGGGCACGCGACGACAAACTCCATCATGACGCAGTGCGTCGAGACATTCATTCTGCGGATCCATCAGCTATCCGACCCGACGCCAGGACGGGGAAAGAAAAGACGCTCACCTATCGCGGATGCGGGCACAAAGGCGTCCGGCGCGGGCTCTAGGACCGGGATCGTGCCGTGGCGGAGTGCTGTATCGCGAGCCAGGCGCGTCAGCTACGATGATGAGCGCGATCTGCCCTCCCGCCGCCATCTCCGCAGCCGTCGCACCATGCCAGCCGCTCATCCGGCCCTGAAAGTTCGCCCATTCATAAGGTCGGCTCGCACGTGGCTGATAGACTACAGGTGAGGACACGGGCGAGCGCCCCGATCCAAATCCGAATCCGAGCTGGTCATAATAAGACTGCGGCCGCATCGTTGGCCGCAGCCCCGGTGACGCCGGGGGGGGGGGGGGGGGGGGGGGGTCTACTAGCGCGATCTTGGTGACTCTGCGGCGCTCGCGGCGCAGATTGTGATGCGTTGTCGACGCAGTGGTGGCGACCTGGCTCGTCGACATAATCCAGGATGATGGTACGGCAATGTCCGAGATTCTGCGCCTCAGTGGATGAGGACGGATCGGGGCGTGATTGGAGAGAGAATTGCTTCACCAAGCACTGACGGCCCACCTGCGTTCGAGAATCTGCTGCCCAATGGCCCCGCGAAGGCCCCAGTGGTTGCTTGGCCAGGTAGTGAAGATGAGATTGATTGAGCGCTCAGCTGCCACCAAGCTGTGAAAAACTCGGCCAGGACACATGGAACCATTCAATCACACGCACCGTAATGAGAAATATCATGATCGTGATGTCCTTCACTGTCCTCGCCTCGATCGTAGCCACCGCGCACGCGTCGCCATCACCCCATATGGTAGGTAGTTTTATGGTACTCCTCACAGTTGAATAGCCGGTACCCATACGTGAGCGGTGTGGCAGTCTGCGCCGTCGAGCTCAGACCACTGGTGGCATGTGCGATCAAAGGGGGTAGGACTCACACACAGGCAAATGTAGTCGAGAGTAATGTCGATATAGACGAGTCACGTGGAATGACGTGGCAAGCTGCTTGGTGACATTAAATGTGACATTACCCTAACCCGGTTTCTACTACATCTAGTGCGATGACTTCTACTACAACCACGCTTAGATGCTGACTGTACAGTGCCATCACTGAGAGCTCGATCAATTATCTCTATTCGAAATGACACAAAACTCGACTATTCCACACCAACACCTTCGTGGTCCGTCCATCCACCATGAGGTGCAATCATTCACGATCCAGGCGTCGCTTGACCTCGCGCAGAATCCTGCTTCGAAATCAAAGTCTCCACGCGCTTTACGCCTTCCGCACTATCATCAACAGCCTAGCCCCGCGTCCCTCCGTTTTCGGACTCCCGTCGCTATCCTCGACGACTTACGCATTCCCCGGAAGCTCGAACGCGACGCTGTCCACCAGCACAGCCAGCACGACCTGCGCATCCAAAACAAAATCAGATTATGGCGGCGGCGGGAGGCAACACCAGTCTGACCTTGATCAACACGCGCGACATCCCGGCCCCGAGACACATGCGCGGCCTGTTGCCGTGCGCGAGGTGCATGCTCCCCGGGAAGCCCGGCGCGTCCTGCAGGAGCCACCACTGGCCGGGGTCGAACCGGTGCGCGTCGGGGCTCCAGAGCGCCAGCGCGCTGTTGAGGAAGGCGAGCGGCGCGGCCACGGCGGTGCACTTTGCGACGCGGATGCTGGTCACGCACTCGCCGCTCTTCGTCACGATGGGCCCGCTGAGCGGGATCACGTCGTTCTCGGCGGCCTAGGCGGGAGTCAGTGCCCGCGACCAGCGGATGGGGAGAATTCGAGTATTACCGCGCGGATTGTTTCGGTTATGGGAGGGTGGAAGCGCAGGCCCTAGCTCACCACCGATTGGAGGTAGAGCAGGCTCGATAGCGTGTCCGGGTCCAGTTTCCCACGAAGCGTCCCCAGTTCAGAGCGCAGTCTGTTCTGCACTGCCGTATTCTGCGCCAGTTCGACAAGGAGCCACTGCCATTGATCAGTCTAAGCTGGATAGCGCCGGAAATGACTTGCACTCAGCGTCACTGCGTGTGGATTCGACGGTCAGTTCGGCCAAGTCTCGCGCGGATTCGAAATCCTCGCTTGATGTTGTTTCCAAGCCTATCAGGGTTCAGTAGTGAGCGGAGATGTGGATCGGTTGGGCACACCAGAAAAGAGGATTGTCCTCTGATCTTGCCTAGAATCGCATCGTCCCTAAGAAAGAAGGCACTCACGATCTGAACGCAAGCTCAGAGGGATCATGTGAAATCACATCTCAACGCGCCCCTGAGACAAAACCTCCGCGTTCGACGACCGGAACTCCCCCGCAGGATGCCTAGCGAGCGAGCTGACTGACTGCCGTGAGCCCAGGACACGATCCGACATACATTTCGCTCACTCAGCGAGCTCATCATGCAGGTGTCTTGCTTCTCGTAGCCGTTCAGGATGTCGTCCGCCATGCGGTCGACGTAGCCCTCGAAGTTCTTCAGGACCTTGTGCTTTGCAAACAGGATGCGCAGGAACCACGGGTGCTTGAGCGCCTGGGTGAAGGGTTGAGGCCCGCGAGGTAGTTGTACGCCTCGCAATCGGTCACGAGATCCGTCAGGGACGCGTCTTCGGCCTCCGACTCTTTGCTCGCGGCAGTCTGGGAGTTGTACAGCGAGGCACGCGAGTCGGTGGAGACCTTCACGTTGTCCGACGACGAACTAACCATGCCGAACGCGTCGCCAAAGATAAACGACGAGACCTGATCGAATGAGAGTAGAGTAACCCCTGTAACTGAATGAATTTGGATCCCTGGCAATGATCGAGAGAACTGACAAGGAACGCAATCAAACCAGGTATATTCTGAGTCATTAGTCCTCCCGGTCGAAGTTTGCCCACACGTTCTCCCTTGGCGCGGTTACCGGAATCGGCGCAGTGTCCGCGCTTGGTCCGGGGTCTACCAATGCACGCGGTGGGTCGGACATTGGTATCCGCCCGGGTTCTTGAACAGATACAGCTGGTGGTAGTCCTTGGCGTCCCACCACGGACCGGCTGGTAAGATCTGCATGACTATCTTCAAGCCCTACGGAGAACATGACTGAGCTGAGAAGCATTGATCCGAGGACAACACACCTTGCGCGTGAAATGCTTCGCTTGCACCTCCTCCATGACGCGCTGCGCATCCGTCTGCTGGTCCGGTGTCGTCGTGAAGATCGCAGATCGGTACTCTAGACACAGTCAAACCAAACAAGTGCGCGCACGTATCAGCCCCACCGCAGCAAACCTGAAAAAAAGCAGAGCGCCCACTCACGCGTGCCCATATCCCCGCCCTGCCGATCGATCGTAGGAGGATCGTGCGTGCGGTAGAAGAAATCGTCCGGCTCCGCATACGAGACCACGTCCGTGTCGTACTCCAGCTTCGCTGCCTCAGCGTGATCCATCACGCCCATGCGGACCAGTCGGCAGTGGGGGTTCGAGAAGTGGTCGTTTCCCCCTGTGTACCCAAGTCGTCGAGAGGATGCCTTTCCCGGGCGCAGGCTCAAAGGGATAGTGTTTGCAGAAGATGTGTTCTGTGCCCCAGAAACAGTGTGCACGCGAACGGTCAGAGATTGTGTGAGCTATTATGTTGACATGTGCGCTAGGAGCGCCCTCGTGGAAATGAGCGCTCGCGTCGATCGAATGAGGCGGGGTTGAGGTGTATACGCGTCCGCTAGGGGCGTCGCGTTGGTTCAGGATCTGAGGGCTGGGTCAGATTGCATGGTGGGCACTCACCTGTCGACCCCGCTCTCCTTTCCATGAAACCCTCCCTCTACTCGCCCTATATCCTCTGCTGCAGTAGCCCGAGCCCTAGCTCTCCAGCCCATCCACGCCACACCTGTTCGTTACTGGCCGCGGTTGCCTGGTCGGATGTATGAGCAGAGGCAGCGATGATCGTGCACGCTGATGTGACGCTAGTCACAAGGCGTGACTCGAAAGATGTTCGACGAGATTGTCTCGTCTCGCACCCTCCACAACGCAGTAGATATATTGTTTTGAGTGTGCTATATGTATTATACAATGCTTCCGGAACTTCCGGCTGTTTTCTATATACCACAGACCCCCTGCGTCCCCATATGTTGAACTGATGGCTGCAAGTGATGGTTGCGCGGAGAGATGATGATATTCCACAAGAACCGCTGAAGATAAAAATGTAAAATTCGGGATCCTACATCCTCTGGCATGTATCTAACGATCCATGTAGTAAAAACCGGAATGTTGTGTAAACGGCCCTCTGCGTCCCCGTCCCATCAAAAGCTCTGATGGGAAGTGATCGTTTTGAGACCCTCCGCGGAATTCGATATGGGACATGCACCATTGCGCGGAAGGGGGACGCCGGTGTGCGGTATCGTACCTGGGACCCCTAGCAACGGTTTGCGCATTTTTTCCGATTTTTCGGCACGGTCCTGAGGCCGGCGTCCCCCAATGTGTTAAGCTTGTAAATTGAGGTGCCGATAGATACTAGGCTTCTGAAACTCGGTGTCAATAATCCCATTGTTGTTAACGGGAGACTTCTCTTGAACCGCGCGGATTTTGGGTCCATCGCGAGAGATGTGCGTGACATGCGAGATCGTCGGCGCAGGGATAGACGGAGTGAGCGAGGCGATCGAACCGATAGTGAGGGAGCCAGTGATCTCGGAGACTCCATGGACATGACTGTGATCAGCCTTGCCCTTGCCCTTGTTGTCCTTGTTCTTCCCACTGCGCTTGCCTCGACGGTTCTTCTTCTTTCCATCAGCCTTATCACCCTTATCGGGTGCAGAGCCAGAGCCCTGTTGCTGATTGGTAAACGAAGGGTCATCGCGCTTGCGCTTGGTATTGAACTTGGCCACATGATTCTGGCTTTGAGACTGCTTCTGAGCGAAATGCGTCAAGAGAGCGTCACGAACCGCAGAGACTTTGATCTCGTCCTTGTCATAAGTCTGTAGAACAGTCTCCGTGACAGAGGGAATCCGGGCTATGTTGAGAATGATCATCGCTCTGAGGAACTCAGGGATGCTCAAAGACTCGTTCTCCAGGCGAGCGAACGCCGTAGTGATCACCAGCAGCTGTGGATCCGGGTGCAACCCCACGTTGTACTTGGCGTTCAACGCGGTTTGGAAGTACGCATATAGGTCGGCGCACTGAGCACCACCGTATTGGGTCTTCAGGTGCTCCCAGATCTTGGCAGCTGACACTATGTTGGCGGTTGGAATGTTGGCAATGACTCCCTCAGTCAGGCGCAACTTAATGCTGCCCTTAGCCCTGAGATCATCATGCTTCCATTGTTTGATCTCCGATGCGTTGGTCACAGAGCCATCCGTAGCCTTGACTTCGGTTGGCGCGGTCTCAGTCAGCACATATGAGATCCCCTGATGCTCCAGATAGGACTCCATAGTTCCGGACCAGACAAGCCAGTGCTTTCCATCAAAGATGGAGACAGCATTGAAGATGTTGTTGGAGTTGGACGACATGTTAGATCTGTGTGAGTGATCAGCATCAATCTAATCTGATAGATAAAATCAAAGATCAAGATGATCAGATTCTCATAGATCATAATCTCCTTGAGAGATCGATGCATCTGGATCAAGCGATGTAATCGCGATCCGGCATGGTTTCACCAGCGCTGTGCAGCAGCTGAAGTGATGACAGATAGGCTAAAGACGCTGCTCATCGTTGCAGCCAGTGACGGCGCATACAATGAATGTCGCGGCCATTGAGGCGCAGACATAGCTCTCGGGGCCCATAACCTGTTGAGCACTGGGGAGAGCGTCTAGCAACCCACCTGTGTGAGTTGAGAGCTTAGTGTGGGCACTATGCGGGAGTAGTCAAGAGACTTGTCATTAAAGGGTAATAGAGCCCTCCTTATATACAATACAGGGGGCTATTTGTGTCTATTTAGGACGAGTCGACATGACTCTAGATGACACGTGATGGAGTCATAAGATGTGTATCACGACATCCATCTGGCAGATGATAAGATCATCATTTGATCAACAGTAAGTAGTAGGGGAAATACACGATCCTAACAAGCGCAAAGAGCAATTACAGATTGATCGGCAATCCTCTGTTTCCCCTCTATATCTCCAACAACATCATTCTGCATGCCCTCCTAACTCCCATCTGTCTTTCGGTCGGAATCTGGCTTGGCAACCCCTTGCAGCTTCTCGTCAACGGCAGAGAGAGAGGAGAAATCCTCGTCATCGACTTCCTATCCGTGAAAGTGCTAGCTCATTGCGACCTCCCATCGATCTCGTGTCAGCACACCCTCCGCATCGCTGTCGTACGACGCCCTGAAAGTCCCCCCGTCCTCCGGATGGCCGCCTCTGTGAAAGACCAACGAGGAGCGGCCAGGATCGTAGCGACAGGAGAGATTGACGTACAAACTGGAGATATGAATGCTGACACCTGTACGCGCTCTGCACGCTAATTGAATACATAGTCCCGGGGCAGCGTGATATCAGTCGATTCATCATAACAAGATCCGCAAATGCAATGAATTTTGCACCTTCCTCTCATCATTGCTCTCTGGCTACAACCCGTCTCGAATTGTATCGCTTTGAGGCAGCCGTGCATTGTCAGATCTCGGCCGTGAACTAGAGCAACAGATCGCCCAGGAACACCTTGACCACCCCGTTAGCTCAACAGCAACAGTAGACGTGGGCTTTGGATTGGTCGCAAGTTCTGGGTTGTCGGCTCGTGCGTTTCAGGCTCCCGGGTTACTTGTACTGAAGCTGTATACTGAAGAGCGGGAAGAGCGCGTGCATTTCTTGGTTTCAGTAGATCCATGGCCGCCGCGTGATTGCACAGAAGCATGTGCGGTTGTCATAGCTTTCCTGAGCCTTTGCTAAGTGGACAGACAGGCGGCGGCACGCAAGTCCTGGGCCGACGCATTTTACTTACCAGCGATCGGAGCGCTTCTCGACCCCCCATTGCCAAGCGGTCATATTGTAATTCTTCTGTATCATTGTTCGAGAGGTCACCAGATGTTGACCTTAGGTCCAGGACTGTCGCAAAAATCTGAATTGGCATATCTGTTATGGTCAGCGCTGATAGGTAGGGCTCAGGCCTTCAGCCTGATGACTGGCTGATCTCCGTAGGAAAGGTTGAATCAGTCGTCATCAGACGGTGATCAGACGTTGATCAGGGAATGGTCAGCAACGCATCAGGTGAGTATCGGACGTCAGTCAGGCGGGAATCAGCGGTTGATCAGAAAACTACCAGGCCCTGGTTTCAGCGGTGAAGACAAAAGGAGAACAGGCTTTCTTCCTTGCTCCATCTTCACTTTTTTACATTCACGTTTGGCACTGCATTTGAACAGGGTATCGCTTCACTTTCACTTGGATATTCAATTAATTTAATTAATTAATGTGACACTGTTATTCAGCCTTAATGATAATAATTTCACTCGATTTACTTCACAGTGGGAATCGAACGCGAGAACATGAACTACTAGACCACTACAGACCACTACACTATGTAGGCGCGTGTTGCACTGCGTGCTCCAGTGCTAAGTGTCGTCGGAGACTTAACACAGCCACTTGCATCATGATGACGCAAACCAGAACGACCCTTCCACTCGCAGCTCGCAGCGTACCAGCATCTTTCTACACAAGACTGTGAAGTTCAACATATCTCTCGACATCTTCCCAACGATATTGCCATTGGAACTTTGCGGTCTGCGCATCACAACAAGCCGAGACCATATCCTCTGAGGTCCACCTTCGACGCTCAGCTGCAAGGACTCGGATACATTGGCAAGCGTCGCCATCAACGCAAACGAGCGGGCCGCCGGATGCATGTACAATGGGTATCACTCCAGCCGCCTGGCCCTGTGCGTCAGCGCTGCTGACCAAAGCGAAAGAGTAGAGAGAGAAGGCGACGTACCATGAACTCCATAACATTGATCCTGAAGTGTTCATCCAGCACGACCCAGCCAAGCGAGCACCTGCGAGTACGGTGCGTTCAGCACGAATTGCACATGGTTCTGTCCAGAATAGGCATCTGCCGATCATGACCGGCTGCACGCCCCGCGCAGCGTACTCCGGGCGGTTCTGCAGCAGTGAATGCAATGCGCGGAGCTGCATCGAAATCACGCGCTCCCTCCCCGCGAGCGGCAGCCGCGCCATCTCGCGCGTGTCGCATGAGGGGTACACGACGCGCGTGCGTGCGGTCGCGGCGGGCCCGAACGGGGGTACGCGAGCACGATGTCGACGTGCCGATTCGTCCAGCCCTAGTTGACCAGCACGGCACTCACGCGGCGCAGCGTGAGCGCGTAAAGCAGCATGAACGCGTGATAGTACGCGCGCTTTGAAGAATCCGAGTGAACGTGTATTGAACACGAACAACGACCTCGTTGCCCTCTGAAGCGTCGACTTCCTGTTGAAGATCGCTCCAACCAATCTTGATTCTCACTGGGTTTTCGGTGCGCCATGGGACTACGGGGACAGTTGAGCTCTGATAGGCTGAAAAAATACAGAGAATGACGAGCTTTTCCGTAACTTCGATGTCCAACTCCGCTAATTCCTCGCCAACAAGTTTCCTGAGATGTACATGAGTGCGGAACTGTCTTTCAAGGCGAGTCCTTCGTCCACGATCGAGATTTGGGTAACTGATAGCAAAACTCAGGTCGAGAAATCCATTATCTGGTCGACACAGTTGATGCGGACATATTTTACGCTCTCTGAATGCGGTACAACATATATGTCATTGATCCGTAGCATTTCCCAAAGACATAGCCTTATTACAACTTATAATACCTGATCCCAAACTGACCAGAGGCTGACTCCCGTCTGAGCATACCTGACAAGATCTTACCGGCCTGACCACCGCCTGAGGATATGTGGTCAGGGTCTGACAACAAGCCGTCAGTTCAAATCAGCCGCATATCGGTCCGTCAGGACTGATCATAAATTAAACATTTTTGCGACAACATTCACAACTCTCCTCATGTCATCCGCGACACCGAATTGGTTGAGCGTTCTCCTGTGGTTCATCATCGGGCCGAACGGTATTTTTGGCACCTCCTAGACGATTCGTCCGCCTGGGGAAAGCTTGAACTTGCGAGTCGGAGACCTAGAGGCACTGGCGCCCTACAGGCGATCGTCGTGGACACGACTCGGTTGGACCGCTCCCGATGTTTGGGCCTGTGCATTGGCCTTCCATGCCGCATGGCGTGACTTAAGTACGACACTCAAGAACCCATCAGAATCGCATAAGTAATACGCACTTGCTAGTTTGAGAACAAGCGCTATTGACAGTGTCTCGGATATACTCTTTCGCCTATACAAAGATGCTAGAATGAAGTCTCTCTGTCGTGCTATCTTAGCCCTGGCGAGTGCTGAAGGGCGCTAAGAAACTCCGACTTTGCTCCGGTCTGGGATTCGGGTCGCAGAAACCTAGGCTTCAGCTATCCAGTGCTGTGCCATCCGACCGAAGTAAGGATTTTCCATACAGTGTTGATCTCAGAAGTGGTAGACTGACATGCAATTTAGCCAGGATGAAGAACACATATGAGATGCACTCACGGAACACTGCCCGAATGTCTTCGTCTTGCTAGCCGAGTGCCGTCCACCGCAGCGGGGCTTTCACTCGTTGCAACTATCTTCGACGGATTTCAGCATTAATAGATATCATGGTCAAAGATCCCTAGGATGGCCCCATTGTACTCCTGTGATTCCTAATCGTGAAACTGGCCTCCATTGCAAAGACGAAAACAGCAAGACTACAACACGGAGCGGAAGAGACTAAAAAACAGAGGATACGTTAATAGATGATAGAGTAGAATGACGCAGCTCTAACGTCTAAGGACTACATTCGGGGTCATGAGAGGTCGTAATCTTCGCAAATCGTAACGGTCATTGCAGTTCGTAAGTCAAAGCAGAGGAAAGCAAGTTGCTTAACGAGTAATCGAGAGAAAAAGTGCAAGAGACGATCCGACTAGGCTCTGCCGGGCTATGACTTGACCGAGCCGGCAGCACTCGTGGGCCGTGATAATGTGCCACCAAGGTCGCTACGACCGCGCGGTCGCCCCTCGATTGCCGATGCAGGATTCCCCTTGTAAGGAACATCCAAGTCGTCTCGAGAGAAGAAGTCGTCTTCGCCCTCATACGGCGACGAGCCAGCGTTGATCTGCGAGCGTGAGAAGACGCGGAGATGGTAAGCGGGGCTAGGCAGGCGGCATGGTAGAGAAAGGCACGCACCCAATCCCGCAGGACATCCGCCACGCGTGCAGCCTCTTCGGGGCTAAAGGTGCAGTCCGTTCCCTTCTCCGCATGCAGCCGCATGAGCTCACTTAGTGAGCGCTTACCCGGCTTGCCGCGGCCGGGGGTGGCATCCTGGTCGTCATCACCATTGGCGGGGAATAATATCGAATTCCGGGGCGTGATGTGTGGCTTGGATCCCCCTGGCGATGGTGGCATTGAGCCCTCGACGGAGATGGAGCGGTCCCAGTCGAGTTCGGATTGCGACCCGTTCGAATGCAGGGACAGCTTCGAGAGGGAAAGTTCGGAGTCGGAGGTAGAAGATGTATCGTCGGATGGCATAGTGGAGAGGATGGGTGGAAATGTAGGTGACGATGCGCGGATAGATGGGCAGGTTGACCCGATAAGATGCGGAGATGTGCTGACAACAAGGTTGACTAGTGGCTACTTGAGGCGCGCTGCTTTTCGTGAGTGAACGCGACTTTTGTGGCAGGCGAGAGGCTGATTCAGGTAGGGCAATGCAGCAGACCAGGCTGAGGATAAGAGAAGAAGGCAAGAAGGGGTGCCGATGTAGCCACTGAGGGACAACGCGGAGGCGGAAAACAAAAGCTTGGACTCAAGGTGTGATCCGTGACAATCAACAAACATAGTCACGAACGACCACTGTCTCTGTTCTGTGACCTTTGCGACACTTGCGTAGTACACTGCTTGATCAGGCTTTCTGAACCTCATTGCTCAAACACGGGGGGCCATTGCTGATGAACTTGGGAGCTTTCAGATCAGAACTTTTACACTGTGCTCTGTCAAGTTCCGCCATGTATGTCATGAAGGGGGCGTATTCAGTATTAACTATGCCTATTTTGGAACTGGCCAGATTCCACCTAATATTATCGCGTAGAACACACATGGCGGCGCCGTGCGAGATGGGTCTAGTCGACAACAACTGAACTCTTGAATGTCATGCAAGCGTACTCGATTGAAAACATGATAGCAGCAGAGTCAACCCAGCGCGACGATATCCTCCCCCGCGTCGCCCCATTGATGATTCTACCTTTTGGGGTCGCTTACTCCGAAATTTCCCGAATCGGAAGCTCACGACAGCTCACTACGTCTTGTCCCTCTTTCCCTTTCCTCCCACTTTGGTGCCTGCGGCCCACTTCACCCTGCCATGGCTTCATTAGCGCGTCTTCGTGCTGCTCGCCGGATAGTTCGTGGCATCCTTGTGCCAATTTGTGTCTCTATTGACGTGCACTTTTTTTTTCTTGCAGCCTCAGCTCGCTCGCGCGATTCAAACTTCCGCCGACACGACCCAACTGCATGAGACGCCCTCGGACCTTTCCAAGCCTTTCAAGGTCAAACTTCACGATGACTCGTTCCGGGGATACAACGTGGAGACCCCCGACCTGGATGTCGAAGTGACGAAGGACCAGCTGCTGGGCATGTACAAGCAAATGACGACCATGCGCCGCATGGAAATGGCTGCCGACGCATTGTACAAGGCGAAGCTCATCCGGGGATTCTGTCACCTTGCTATCGGGCAGGTACGTTTTTGCTCGCTCGTCGCAGCGACGATGGCTACTCTCCGCCTTTGCCCGAATACTGACATTTATCTCGTAGGAGGCTGTCTCCGTCGGCATGGAGGCAGGCATCACGGCGGACGACCGTGTCATTACGTCCTATAGGTGCCATCCCTTCGCCGTGCTGCGTGGTGGTACCATCAAGGGTGTCATTGCCGAACTGCTGGGTCGCCAGGACGGTATGTCCCGCGGCAAAGGTGGCTCCATGCACATCTTTACCCCTTCATTCTTCGGCGGAAACGGTATCGTTGGGGCACAGGTCCCTCTCGGAGCGGGTATCGCTCTGGCGCAGCAGTACCTAGGGAAGGACACCGCGACCTTTGCTTTGTACGGCGACGGTGCCAGCAACCAAGGGCAAGTCTTCGAGGCTTACAACATGGTGCGTTTCCGATATTTCGATGTCCTACAGAAGTGACTGAGTTATTGGTACTCAGGCCAAGCTTTGGAACCTTCCATGCGTTTTCGTGTGCGAGAACAACAAGTACGGCATGGGAACCTCTGCCGAGCGGTCTTCATCCAACACCGAGTACTACACTCGAGGCGATAAGATTCCTGGTCTGCAGGTTAACGGAATGGACATCATCGCGTCTCTCCAGGCGGTCCGCTGGGCTCGCAAGTACGTGGCTGAGGATAAGCGCGGACCCCTCGTCATGGAATTCGTCACCTATCGCTACGGAGGACACTCTATGTCGGACCCGGGCACGACCTACCGTACTCGTGAAGAAGTGCAGCGAATGCGAAGCACCCAGGACCCGATCCGTGGTCTCCAGCGTTATATCGAGGAGTGGGGTCTTGCCACTGAGCAGGAGCTCAAGGTATGTTCATTTGCCCTGCCCCCACATGATACGTACTCAACATCTTTCTCTTTTGCAGCAAATTGACAAGGACGCCAAGGCTGAGGTTGATGTCGCTGTCGAGGAGGCTAAAAAGTCCCCGGAGCCTACCCTTAAGGACTTCTGGACCGACATCTACTACGAGGGAACTGAGCCCCCTTTCATGCGCGGTCGTGAACGCGAGGAGGTCCACTACTATTAAAATCGTCGCTTAGGCATATAGATAGACTTGGCAATAATTCCGTATACGACGTCAGCGTCATATCTTTGCCCGTCCGACCTTTCCCCGGCTATTCTCCGATGTGATGACAAAGAGTGCTCGAAAGTGCTTTATCCGAGCTGTGGCCGGGACGAATAGACATCAATTCCGTCGCTACTGGGAACCAAGCTTTTGACCGGTGCCCCAATTGTATCCAGATGTAGAGGTCGAAGCCCCGGACTCTGCCGGTCGTCTTGGCGGAACGATGTGGATTCCACTCCCAGCATTCGCACGAGATGTCCCGGCAGCCGTCCTTGCACTGGTGCTTGTGTCTCTCTGTCCCATCCACTCCCGCAGCCACCGCGGCGCCGCACCCCACTGGGCAAGAATGCCACCCTCTCCTCCGGTATTCGGGCCCCAGACACCCCACCACCACAGATGGCCTACGACGGCACCCGGCAGGGACTGGGCGACGGCACCCGGCCCGCCCATAAGTAGGTCCATCCCGAGAAAGATGTAGGGGAAATACGTGATGGGAACGGAGATGAGTCCCATGATAGATGTTTGAGCGCCGACTGGGGCCAGCGCCGACGACACGTAAGCCAAACAGAGGAGCAGCGGACGGAAGAAGACGAGCGATTTAACTGGGATCGACGTGATCTGGAATGAAGCAGTCAGATCCCGTAGGTGTGAAGCGAACAAAACGGGGAGCGTACGATAATGGCGACACAGGATGCGAAAAGCTGCCAGGCCAAGTCTGCGGAACGGCCTTGGTAAGGGCCCGACTCCAGCTGGTCAGCGCTACGGCTGCACATGACATAAGATACAGTTTTGAGCAGGGGAACAGTCGTACTAGAGCATGACAAGGTCTGCAGAACTAGTCAGACAAACTGTTTGCCGCCTGGGTAGATTGCGCACCGAAGATGTAGTTTATACCCGAGCCTACTCGTGAGTCAGGCTGTGATCAAACTCCAAAGAGTACGCACATACCACCAAGGAAGAAGCTAGTGTACAATCGCCAAACCTGTTGTCTAGATCAGTCACTGCTGGCCGGACAAGAACCGCGCACACCTGCAGGTCTCTAAACACATATTTGTATGTGTAGACGACTTTGTAGGGGGAGACGAGGCCCATCATGGAAGATAAGGAGACAGAGACGCTGGAGATACATAGAAGTCGGGTCACTGGAGGGATCTTGCGAATTTCGGCGAGGACTTCACTCATGGTGGTAAGGGGGCGAGGTTTGAATGACGTGTCTCTCGAGGTCACACGTGACACAGCGCGTCGCGTCGCCCTTCTCACATGCTCCTCTGCGTCCCAGCTTCAGAGAAGTGGGTCGAGCTGTCGTTTCAAGTTTTCAGTCAACTTCCGTTCTAAGTTCTATAAAGGTGGATACCAGATATACCGCAGCGTGTAGGCTAAGAGTTACAGACTCCAGAGGGACAAGGTTTTAGGTTAAGAATAGGAATAGTTGTTACAGGGACTTGGATGGAGCCTCTGGATAGCGGCCCCGTTTTCATGATGCACCACTGATGGACCTCTAGCATTAGGCTTTGAGGCCAAATTTGTTCCAATACTCATTCATTGCAGCCAACTCCTCGGCCATACCATGACTCTCCAGCCACAAAATGAGGTCCCGCATGCGAAGAATCGACCTGACCCTGCCCTCACCAATGAGGCTCTCGATCTCCTTCACTGTGCTGCCTGTGCCTTCCTGACCAATCTCCTCGCGATCGAGACATTGCACGACACCCACGACCTCTCCACCGTGTGCCACGACCGTCTCGATTGCTCCGCGGACGGCTTTCCCGGAAGTCATGACGTCGTCCAGGATCACGACTTTCTTCCCAGCAACAGACACTCCGACCATCTTCCCACCCTCGCCATGATCCTTGACCTCTTTACGATCGTACGCGAAGCCGACAGACTGGTTGTGCTCGGTGTGCAGCATCAGCGCGGTCGTCGACGCAAATGGAATGCCCTTGTATGCGGGTCCGAAGAGGACATCGAAATCAGGGATGGTGGACGCGGCTTGAGCAGCAGAGATAGTTTGGGCGTATGCACGGGAAAGAGAAGCCAAGATGGGACCTGAGCTGAGGAGTCCTGCATTGAAAAAGTACGGGGAGACGCTATGCCGAGAGCAGGATTGAGTTCTGAGACGCTGAAGCGCTGAGGCAAGAGGGATGCCCACCGGCCCGATTTGAGTGTAAAAGTGCCGAACTTGAGAGCCCCTACGGCCATGGAGTGCTCGATGAGCTCGGATTGGTATGTCGCTAGCTCAGCCATGACAATCGAGAACGGGAAAAGGCGATATCTAAAAATGCCAGGATCTGATCGTCGTTTGACAGCGGGCCGGCTCGGATTGCTCCCGATTTAGAAGGGTCTCAAGTCGCGACTTGTACTCCACTGCTCTCCCCTCACGTCTCATGCACCAGAACACCTTCCCATAGCCCACTAGCACCCATGCTAAAGCTCTTGGCCCTTGGATTTGCTGCCTCACGGAGTCGCCCTAGCCCCGACGCCGAAAAGGGGTCGTCCGTGCTCGAGGACCGGGTCATCACCGAGTCGCCAGTCCCCGACGAATCCGACGAAGATGATGCGGAGGGTGACCAGGGAGAAGATGAGCTTGAAGAAGAGCATAACACTCACGACATCATTCATGACATGGAAGTGGAACGGCAGGAGGTCGGCGTGCCCGAGAATCCGCCCCTGCGCCGGGGCCGCACATATTCTTCGTCCATAGTGACGCTCCCGTATTCGACAAGCACATCCCCTTCCTGGTGGACAAAGCTCAAAGACCTGATCCTTCCCAAGACAACGACGCAAGATCTCGACTCGTACATCCCTACTTACCGCTACACCCCCATCATCTCCGGAATCATTATTCCTTTTTCGATCTTGCTTGAAATTCCTGGCCTGACCGAGGTCTGCACTTCCTCGAAACCTTTTCTTGGGCTCACCAATCCGCTCTAGCGGTGGTATATCCGCACCGAAAACAACCAAGTCGTCGACACCCAGCCCAATCCTGCGATCCTTAATATCGGGCTTGGAGTCAGCATGGCATGTGCCCTGGCGGCAAACATGTGTCTTGTCGTCCGGTTCCTCGAAAAGAAGGTCAAACTCATGACCATCGGCTGTATCATCTTCTTGACCATTCACGGTGTGCAAACCTGCGGCTAAGTGAAGGTTATGCGGGTGCCTAATATTCCAAACAGATTTGATTAACATCACGGCTGTTACGATCTTCGGTATTGAGCACAGATTTAACGACGGTTTCACCTATGGCCAGTCGTTCTGGATTACTGGTCAGTGCAGTTCGGTTGTTCATCGACTAATATGCTAAACTACGCTCAAAGTCTGTTCCACGGCTGTCTCCTCATTCACTAACCTCACCTTGATCACTGATCTCGTGAGGACACCTGATTTCGAGCATAGCGGTCAGTTCTATTTCCCATGCACGTGGCGGACGCGTTGTTGAACATTGTGCAGGCAGCGGTCTGACTCGCAGGCAACGTTCCTTGGCGATCGTTGTCATCCTCTTGCTCACGTATATTGCCCTGGGCGCACTGATCTACTCCTATCTGCTGCACTTGAATTTTATCGATGCTATGTACTTCACTCTGGTGACGATTGAAACCGTTGGTGAGCCCTAGCCTTCGTTTCTCCCGCGAGGATAGGCTGACTCTGTCGCAGGTTTTGGCGACATTTCTCCGAAAACGGCCGGTGCTCGGGTGTTCACTTGCTTCTACGCCGTGTTCGGAATCCTGATCATCGTGCTTGAGGTTGGACTGATGCGCGAGACCGTCCTTGAAGGTCTTGAAGTCGGTTACCGGAAACGTGTCCAAGCTGTGCGCCAGCGACGAAAGATCGGCCGATGGAAGCGCCGAGTGTCGAATAGATGGCGAGAAGCTGTTGAATGGAGGCTGCGAGAGGGAGGGCATCCAGTCTGGGTCAAAAATAAGCGCCGCGAAATCTCGGACGGTTGGTGGCTTACCTTGGTTGATTTCTTCGCGGGTTTTTCGTGGTGGCGAGGCGACGGAGACACTCAGTCTACTATCAGTTACGGAAGTGGGTTCATGACCGGACTAGGATACGGTAGTCATCCGCATGGAATGCATCTTAATCTACGAGCCCTCACGTGGAAACAGGTAGGAGTTATCCTTTTCGTTCTGTTAGGTTCCGTCGCTGATCTCATTCGCACACAGCTCGAAGCAGCCGCGATGGAAGCCGGTGTGCCTCTCGATATGCTACTCCCCGAGGGCTATCGAGAGGAACGTGGACCGGCGCGTGACAGTGCCCCAGACTCGCCGGACTCGCCCCACGCACATGTGCCTATACAGGCAGATGCCGACGTCCCGCTCACATACACTCGTCTCGGCCATATGGTAGCCATGCTCGGCGCATTTGCACTCGCCGTGAACAAGTCTAGCCACTTGTGCCACAAGGCAGCCGAAGCTCCCACCGGCGGTCGACCGGCCCCTCTTCCCACGCCAATGTTCAAGCCAAGTCTGACGTCCCAGTACGACAAGTATCGCTCATCGATGGAGAAGGAAGAGACCAAAGCGTTCTATGCGCGGTTGACTGTTGTTTGGGCGCTGTTCATCATGTTCTGGATCGTCGGGTCACTGATATTCCGGAAAACCGAAGGTTGGAGTTTCGGCGTGTCCATCTATTTTTGTGAGTGTTCATCGGTCATCAAGTCTCAGCCTTCTGAGTCTACCAGGCTTCGTTGCGTTCACGACGATCGGATTTGGCGACTACTCGCCCCAGACTCCGACCGGTCGCTCGATATTCGTTGTGTGGGCACTTTTGGGCGTGGGAACCATGACTATTCTTCTTTCCGGTATGCTCTAATCGGTCGTGTTGGAAATGAAACTGAGAAGTTCGTCAGTTATTTCCGAGGCATTCTCGTCCAAGTACCACACGGTGCTGTACGCTGGAGTTTTTCAACGCGCTGTGAAACGATACCACGAACGAGCCCGCACACTCGCCGATAAAGCGCGCAGGGGCGTGAAAGCAGGCATCCGCCGACCCGGTCTTTCCGAGCACATCTCCTCTGAAGAGCTGCACCAGCGCGCGCAGGTCCAACTGGAGGCTTTACCGCACAAGATACTGAACGAAGCAAAAACCTTCCACGAGCACGTGTCTTACTTTGTCGGACTCGGTCCAAACGGGAAGCCGGGCGTCGATGTGGGAGACGAACTGCCGCCCGGGCTGCAGAAGCTCATGGATGAGATCACTGGAGCAGAGAAGCTTGGTGAACGAGTCAAGCGGGAGATTCTGCAGGACGAAGATGCTCGACATACTTTGTTTACCCTAAGCATAGAGCGTAGGCTCAGTTTTCTACTCCTCATTCCTGTGGGCGCTGATCAAGGTTCCGACAGAGGCTCTGCGCAAAATGATCAACTCTGCAGAAGCTGCGATTCAGGCTCTTGATGAGCGGGAACAGCTCTTACAGATGCGCGAGGCGGAATTAACTGAAAGAGAAGCTGCTGCGACTCTTCAGGTCGAATCTCGCTCCCAACCGCCTCGTCCTCTTCAAACGGAAGTTCTCACATTGCCAGAGAAACGCCCAACAGGAATAAGATACACGCGATGGGACACGACGACTTCTTCCGAATATTCAGACTGGCGGTAGGCTTGTGGATTGCATGTCCAGGGCTATGGATTGGGGTAAATATGTATGTGTTATAACTATAGGGATAATCCCATGAAATGTCATGCGTATGAATGGAGATGTTGAAACCTGACTGGAATTGGAATGTACCCTAGTATCTTTTGGGAACGCCGAGCTCGATTCATGCCCGGAACATCTTAAAATAATTGGCAAATGGTACTTGCGACCAGAATCTAGTCATGAGTTGATTTTCCGGCTCATCGGAAATGCGGTTGGCGAGCATTTTTTCATCTGGATAAATCCTCAAAACTGGACGTGCATATATCCTCTAGTCCCCTTGGTTAAAATAAGAGTATATACAGAAAATAAGAGTATATTTGTACAGTGTGTGTGTGTGTGTACGACTTTTGCGATCAGCGGAAGTCGCACACTGATGGCAGGAGTTGCACACCAGTGATCTGAGTGAAGCATGTCACGTCCAGTCAGTCTTCCACCTCCGATATCAGGGCCGAGCTGTCACATTGGTGACAAGGCGCGTCGAGAGGCTGAAGGCAGCGATTTGGGCAGTCCTTCGGCACGTAGAGTATGTAGTGCTACTGGTAATTGCCTTTCTGTCAGACCATGTCAAGTGCCCAGTCGTCGCCCAGATCACATCAATGACAGTTGTGACGAGAGGTTAGGGTCGGACACATTTTCCTACGCGCCGACCACGATGGAGAAAGACCACTTTACGTTCACCGTGGGGAAATTAGGTACGCAGGCTTTTGTTGAATCACGAAGAAATGGGCTGAAAACTCGTGCATAGATGCAGGAATGGCGGTACGACTAATGATCCACGTCGCTTCACGGTTTACACTGCCGCTCTCCAGATCCTTCTCGGCGAACGCGCCCACCTTATCGAATTTCCTTCCGTCCTCCTCCCTCCCGGTGCGAACACTGGATCCATCGTCAACATCTCTGTCCTACAGAATCACGCTGAAGAGAAAAGGAGAGACGCCGCGTTTTGGGCGTTGCAGGATGAGATACACAAAGAGTTTGGAGTGCGAACGCCTGAGCCACCGAAACTCCAGGTACGCGGTCTGTTCTCGCAAAGATGGTCATATGCCAATGGTCTCCTTGTCCCCAGCTGCGAAATGTGACTCAGACGTCCGTGACGCTCGAGTGGCCGTCCATCGAGCTGGCGACGGCCAAATTGCGATCATTAGACCTCTACCGCAACGGCCAGCGCCTCGCGCCAATCCCGAACCCGGCAACCAACACTTCTAGTAAGATCTCGGGGCTGGAGCTTGACGCCGAGTACACATTCCAGCTTATCCTGCGCACGACGGCGGGGACATTCCCCTCGGAGCTGCTTCGTGTACACACGCACACCATGACCGATACCTCTGGCGTACGCGTATGCTTCGGGACCGTCGACGATGCAGGGCTTGTCGAGCAGGCCAAGGAGGCCCTGGAGCGCATCGACGCGCGGTGGAGCGAGAAGATCGAGATTGACACGACGCACTTCGTATGCACCACCCCGAATACGCATACACCGACTGGCGTGCCTGAGGTCGAGTATCAGCGTGCTGTGCAGCTGAGCATACCTATTGTCCAGCCGCATTGGATCTTTGCATGTCACTCTGAGCGTCGGTACGTATGTCGGCGCTTCTTGTTCAGGAAGCTCATCGTGGCCGTAGATTGGTTCCTATCGCGCAGTTTGGACTGGGAGCAACACCGCCTAACGCGCTACCCTCTCGGCGCCCACAGTCAATGTCTGCCGCATCTCCCTCCCAACGCTCGCCCGCCAGCGTAGCCGCTATGCGACAGTCAATGCCACCGAGCGTCTCGCCCATTGATCAGCCTTCGACCTTCGTAGGACAGTCGGCCAGCAATTCCCCACCACCAACCGTGCCGGTCGTCACTATCGAAGAAGCTCACTCGGAGGATGAAGAAACTGACGTGGCTGAACTGGAGGCGAAACGACTCGCCTTGATGGAGAAGCGGGCAAGCAAGACCGGGACGATGAACATGCAGTTCAAATTCCCGCCTACGTCTCCAACAAGTCCTGGCCCTGAGAATTCCGATGCTGCGGATGGGCCCGTTGAGCCAGAGAGCATTGAGGTTCCGCCGCCGCCGGTCGTGGAGAAAGAGACAGTATCTGATGTGAGGGCTGAGGGTGAGGTAGATGACGATCTGGGTGAGACAGAGGACATCCCGTTGTAGTCAGTAACCTCTCTGATCCCTTTACTTTCTCCTTCAGCTTTAGCACTACTCTAATCATCACCCATGTACTTTTCGTCTGGTGATTGTGCTTCCCAGGGGATGATTCGGAGGACTGACTGCAATGGGATCACGTCACGGGTAACAAGCTTGTCTCCCTTGCTTCGAGCTCTGGTGGTGGTGATATTGCGATCCGTCATGGAAGGTCAGGAAAGGAACACTACATTTCGCGTCAAAACAATATACATGGCTTCCTGCTGACGCTTCGTGGTTACTTCATCGCAAATGGGAAAACTGGACTAAACGAGGCCCAAAGCCATGCGCCGCGACACGATGTTTTACCTCCAGGTTCTTCAGCAGTAACCTCTGGTCTGCTAAAAACGCTCGCATCAGAAGTGAGTACTTCTGTTTGGAGGCGAAAGAAGGTGCGAGACCACTCATCCGGAAAATATCAGCACGGACGCGATGCTTGGACGCGATACAACACCTCTGCGTCCCATCATTCGTTTGCCGACTACCAATAGCACGCAAACTACTCGGAGATCAGCCTTGCCAGTCAGAAAACCCAATCTCAAAGTGGATGACCCAGCGAGTCCGAACGCGAATGTGAAAACTGTGAACGCGAGGTCAAAAATGGGCGCCTCTCAGGTGGAAACCCGGTCGCATTTCGGTCGCATACTCAGCTCTTCATCACAGGGCGCTGCGTCTGGACCTTCGGTCACCCGCACTTCGGCGAAGGCTGCTGTAGAGACGGAGATCACAGAAACAGGCATCCCGGCGACTTTTCCTGCAGAGCCTTCTCGATCTATTCCAGCTCTTTTCTCCGCTGCTTCCACATCGTCCAGGACACCTCGTCATCCATGAGGCCAGCATCACCGCCAACTCGTTTGCGCGTGCCTTCAACGACAACGCGAAGTGCTGTCCTCTTCCCAACATCGGCACCGTCCGAAGTGCCAGCTCCCTCAGGCCCGCCGATCAACCGCCCCAGCGCTCCCAACACCTTCCACGAAGTTGTCACCGGCGTCATCTCGATCACGCGCGCCTTCGATGAAGGCACCAGGTGTCGCGCTTCCGAAATCGACTTCGTCTACCGCATTAAGACGGGATGCGACACCAATGCCCGCTCGGACTGCGTCCAATCCATCCAGCGTTTCGCTGAAAACCCCATCAGCGCTTCATTCGATTTCCAAGCTGAAATCACCGACAACGCTTGTGAAAATGGGTGCATCCAGCCCGACAGGGACAGCGACGTTACGAGGGAGGATGATATCGGCCGCTGCTATATCTGCACCGCGTAAATCCGCAGTTACGACTTCGATTTCCCGCGCCAGGACGCTATCGATGGTGGGTGCAGGATCAAGCAGCCAGCAGCCTTCGCCAATAACTCCGGTTCCGACGAGCTCTGGAGCGCGCATGCGTTTTACCAGTGTGGCCGGCGAATCTGCTGCCGTCGCACCGCCGGTCGTACGCACAAGAGCGACCGCCACAGTTGGCGTGAGGCCTGGCAAACCGCCCAGTTCGTTGCCCGCGTCGGCGAAGACGTCTATTGCGCGTGTGACCACAAGTTCCGTCACTTATAGCATCGCCGCCGACCCTGATTTGTCGACCGCGACTATGACGATGTCTGCTCCTGCCTCGAGGAAACCCAGCTCCACATCCAAGCTGGCTGCTTTTACAACTCATACTGGAGCCAACGGAAGCATGTCCAATGCTGTTTCGAGTCCCAGGTTCGTTTGAATGAACGATTCGAATCTCACGCCTGATTACTGACAATTAACCGCTTTAACAGTGCAAAACCTCTGCCGAAGACTCCCTGACTCTAACGACATCTGGTCCCAATAAAACTACAGCAGCACTCACCCAACGTAAATCCACCCCGTCTCTTTCTTCCTCGACTCAGCAGACACCTGATCCGTCATCCACAGCTCTCGCGATCAGCCAAGACAAGATCTAGTCTGCAATCCCTCGGACAAAGTCTGCCGCGGCGCTGTCATCATTGTCCGCACGCAAGAGAGTTCCACCAAGAATAGTCATTGATACATCTTCCCTGCCGTCTCGTGTGCAGCCCATCTCACCATCGTTATCCATGAGACGAACGTCACCCCGACCGCCGCCGAGCCCTTCATCCCCGACACACGCAGCTGCATTTGCCTCTGCACGGAGCGTCTTTCATAGAGGGCACGACAATAGCGTTGCTTCTACCGGTCTTGTAGCCTCTGGCACTGGCTATCGATCGAAGTCCTTATCGCCATCTCCAACACCGGCAAGGCTGTATCTCGGAAAATTATCGCCGACATCAGCAGGAAACCGGCAGTGTCCTACGCACCGCCGTCGGATACTTCTTCCGAATATTCAGACTGGCGGTAGGTTTGCGGATTTTTGTCCAGGACTCTAGGGATCAGGATAAATATATATGTGCTATAATTATAAGGATAATCCACGAAATGACATCCAGTGTTGCTCAGAAATCAGAACTTACCTAGACTTGGATTGTCAGTCAGGGCTATAAAATGTGTCACTCAAAGAATTAGGATACATGTTATTAGATGAGATTGTTCTTGCTTCAAAGACTGGAAACGAAGGGTACAAGGTGAGACAAACCAAGTACTCGGAGGAGCGCATTTATACAACAATAGGACTAAACCGAGTCAAACTAGTTACCGAACCATCGCTTGAAACAGTTGAGGGACCTCTGCGGTTCCTCCATGAAGAACTGTGACCACGATCGATCAGCCTGAAGCGCCATCTCGAACGGAACTTTAACGTACGAAATGATTGGCGCCGTCCACCAACTCAAAGGTGATCTCGCACTCAGGCTTCGCCTCCACCAGCATCCGCTCCTCAATCTTCCACCCGGCGTAGATTGAGGTCCAGTTATCCATGGAGCCAGTCACAAGATAGAATTTGCTATTCTTCCATAGCCGACCACGTACGTGCGCATCAAACAGAGCTTTATCAGTCAGCTTCGCCGTGGCAGCAGCGAAACTCGGAGAAACGACCATCGCGTCGGCCTTGGCGCCGGCCGTCAAATCTAATATGCCGTCTATTGGAATGGTATCGAAAGTGGGCGGTCGATTCGGGTCAGTCCGGGAGTAGGTCAGATTTCGTAGGTCGCGGGTCGAGAGGTCGCCGTGCAGGAAGAAGCTTGTTGCCCATCGTGCAAAAAACGGTCCTATCCCAGCCGAAGAGACCTCGGGATCGGTCTGTGGGACAGACATCCCTTCTGGAATCGGGACCCCAAACACAACGGCGGGGGCCTCTTCAGACCGTCAGCTTTGTCGGGATGGGGGGACGTGGTGTGTGAGACACTCACGGTAGAGGATGATGCTTCGTACAGAGCTACTGAGCGTCCGGCGCGTGTCCTCCGGTAAGCTTTCCATTGACGCCACGACGGCCATGAGGACCAGAGATCCCAGCGACCATCCGGCCACAGCCACTCCACCCGGAAGAGAAAGCGATTCGACAAGCCCTGCGATCAGTAGCGCAAAGTCCCGACCCATCTCCGCAATAAATGCCTCCTTCTCCACTTCGCTTCCGTTCATGAGCAACTCTAGCACGTCCGGGTGGGGAGTTGATCCATCGTATTCTCGGCGGTTCGGGGCAATGACGCGGACGCCGTTTGAGGGCCCCAGTGCTGCCAAAGACTGGAACGTCCCTGGGCGCAGCTCATCCTCTGGGTGCAGTCCTCACTGCTGGAAGGACACGCACCGTTGTTGAACATGACCCCATGAATGAGCACTAGCGTAACATAGTCGATCTTATTGGACGTGGGAATCCCGCTGTCGGTGTAGCTGAAGACGACTCCACTGGGGAGAGTGAAGGAAGGCATGCGCAGGCAGATTTTCCCGTGCCCTTATATGGCCTTTCGTCAATGCAAGAGCCATAGCCCTAGGATTTAGTCAAATCCGTTTGGCTGTAGCCATAGAAATTGCATTCAAATCTATGGCTGTAGCCATAGGGCGTGGCGGTGCTGATGTGAACAACGATCATTATGATCAACAACCTGTGATTGTGATTGACACCCAACAGCGAGGCGGTGGTCACTGGTTTCAGTGAGGATTGAACGGCTGACCTTCTAAAAATGAATGTTAAACCAACACATTATCATACTGAGCTAAACGATTGTTAAACAAGTTGCAATTTCCCTCAACTTAGGGTAACCCGCAAGCGGCTTACCCTAAGTGGAGAGAAAGCTTTATCCTAGTACTGGTTATCCCAACCCCTTATCACCCAATAAACAAATTTCTTGCCCCAACCAACCCTAATAGAGCCTCTAACAGGATTTTTTTTTTTTTGCTCCCTTGCCCTAACCCCTAACTGACAATAAATATATTTATTACCCTAACCAACCCTTACAGAGCCTGTAATAGGCTTTCTTTTTGCTACCTTGCCCCAGCCATAACCGAGAAAAAATGACGTCTCTGGGGACTAACCTTTAACCCAAACCCAAACCCTAGCCTGAACCACTAACCTCCGCGCCCAGAGGGGCGCGGCTTGTTCAAGACAGTAAGGCCTATCAACACTTTATGTTGGGGGATCATGGTGGTGCTGATGGCAATGATGATCTTGCACATGCCATGGTGATGCCGAGAAAAGCAACAGGACCAAAGGCCTGCCACGCTATGGCTGTAGCCATAGCAGTATTAGTCAAAGCTATGACTGTATCCATGCTATGGCTACAGCCATAGATTTGAATGCAATTTTTATGGCTACAGCCATAGATTTGACTGAATCCTAGCACTATGGGTGAATGCAAGCAGTGTGATTCATGCTTGATGTGTCAGTCACAGGATGGACGGCAATGTAATGGAGGTACCCAAATCTGTCGAGCGAGCGTGAGCATTCACTAGCAGCGTATGAGCATCCTAGCCGTGCCCAGGTGAGCTCATCATCATTTCAACAAGTATGAAGTTGCGCGCCGCACGGCTTTTAGTCCTCGACTTTTAGATAATAAGCACCTGATGATCCATTGCTTGGTGAGCGTTGCATCACAGTTTTTCCGTATGTGAACGATCACCCGGGTGGCTAGCCTGGGCACGGCTGAGAGCCGAAGTCTAGCTGCCCCGCCTCGACGTCATGCTGACACATATGCCATGACCGCAGGCTGCGGCAGTCCGTAACAAAATCTGAGAGCCAGCCATGAGCCCTTGCAAGCAAAAAGATATTATAAGACAGCCTTTATCGCGCACCCTGCTCGGTTGGACCATTTCAGATCAGATACGCTGTCACGATCGCCATTAGATCAGATTTACGTTCTGCGCTGATAATTCTGCGGACTGAGAACTGGAATACGAGATAAGTAAATTGCAGAGAAACAGTTCGCTTCGAGCGAGCCGATGTATCCGTGATACTCAGGAAGTGAAGAAGCTAAGTAATAGGTAATGAAGACGGCAGCAGCAGCGGTGCAGTGAAAGATTGGCCCCCCTTGCAAGGAAGGTCTTATGGGAGATCGGAGGCGCTAGCGATACAATAAACTCCGGGAAAACTACTTCCGGACAAATGTTGGGGAGTGGGGGCAGGGACATGTGGCAGTAGTGGGATGAGGTGGGATGAGGAGTGAGGCGCAACATGAAGAGAGACATTGAAGTTGCTGGCGCATAGCCAGCTAGCTGCATGGGACTCGGGAGGAAAGGAGCATGATTGATGTCTGGATCCCCATCCTCAGATGCAGTAACGCAAGCGGCAGCCACGTTCTTCGATCTCCTGAGATGCGGCCTATACACTAGATGAGCGACGAAAGCGACCAACAGTTCGACCGGACACCCACCGTGGCATCAACATCGTCGATAGTACGGGCCGCCACATTGACCGGCGCGGCGCACACCGTGTTCGCTGGACAAGCGATCAGCTATAATATACTCGCATCTGGAACGATCAGAGCTCACCGAGAACACCGGCCAGGAGATATACAAATGCGAGCTTCAAGGTGAATTGCATTGGAGGATGAGTAGTATCAAACGAGGGTGGGCGCGATCAGACGAGTCGCGAGCAGAATTCACACTGCAGGTAGAGTGGGGAGGGAGATCGATGCGCTGTGAGGGATGTAAACGAAGCGTGAGGGCCTGTCAAAGGGCTTGGGCATCGCCCAGCTTATAAGTGCGAGCAGCTTGTGTTAATTAAAGACCACGGGAAGGAGGGAGACACCAGGCCTGATCCCGAGCTCCACTCTGCAGTGCCTCATCCCCAATGCGGACGTTTGTTTGTGGGTCCGCCGCAGTGCCGGACCGCATGTCCCGATTGGGATGAAGATGAGCCTGGATGCGATCACGCGCCGTTGTTCTCCTTCAGGTGGTTCGTTTGTGGCACCCGTCGACGTGGCTCAGCGTGTGCTTCGGCCACCGAGCGCTATGCAACGCGTGTGCGATTTGCTGTGGCAAGCCCAAGCGCTCGGTCTGATTTAAGCCTTCACTGTGAGAGCGCTATGCCCAACTAGTCTCTGCGCAGACGCACAGGTATCCGGCTCCCACTGATCTCCTCGGGACATACTTTCGGTAGAAATTCCGGCTCATAGATTACCTAGTCTGATCATGTACAGGATGTAGTCATCGATCCTGCGGAACCTACCGGGTATTCTGAGACGTAGATCACAGGTTACGGCACGAGAATAATCTCTCGTGATCTCCATCAAGAGATCACGGTCCAGAAATTCAACGCTGGACCGTTCTAATCTATGGTCAAGTATCACAATCTCCAAGAGCTCCTTGATTTTTTGGTGTCCACTAGTTACGGTATCACCCCATGATACGGAAAACCTTCAGCCCTGCATAGTCCACAAGCAGTGTTTCATTTCTCTCAACCTTGATCGGGGATGGCTTCTTCGTTTTCATGTCATTTCCTTACGAGCGCTTCCTTCGTCTGCAAGGCAACTCCTATGCAGCGAGATGAACGACTACGCTACAACATAATCATCATTTATTTGCTCAATTTCATAGTGGCAGTCGGTAGGACAGGTTACAGAACATGAATTTGGGTCATACAAGAGCGGGTTCAAAGCGGATCAAGGCAGGAGGAGTCGATACTGTAAACACGTATTGCGCAGAAGGAGGCTTGAGTTATTTGATCACTGTTGCCATGTCATCGACGCGTTATTTGGAAAGAAACAGAATAACACTCACAGAAAAGAACATCTTAAACTTCTGGTTCGAATGCAACGGCCGGAAGTCAGCCTTCAGCGTTTCGAGCATTTTGGAAGCATCCGTTGTGTTCGTGTACGCGGACTCGTCCCGGACCTTGCTGGGGTCGTAGTGGATCTTGGCTCTGGCGCAAACCGTGTCGGCGTCTGAAAGTGGTGCGGTGAGATCGGAATCAAAGAAAAGAATAGACCGTCAACGCACAGTACACCGGTGCAGGGATGGAAACGGAACGCGTCGACTTGGCATAGACGTGGCAGAGAGCGAAGGAGATCATTTGCATGGTATCCGCACTGTATGAGATAAGTTTTCAGAGCGCAAGAATGAAGAGCCACACACTTGAGCTTGTTCTCGTCGTACAGCACCGAGTAATGTGCGGGCCGGCTGGTTCCAAGCAGCCCCGCGTGACTGAGAAGGAAAAAGTCAAATTCGACGGGGTTCACGAGCTCCTGGTCAAGAACGGTGCCAGCTGGGAGGTTTCCAGATCGATCTGCATCTCTGTCGTTCGTAGGGAACAGTCGCACGTGGTGTCGTTTACCAACCACAACAAGTGTAATAGCAGGTTTGATGCCAAGAGCCGTACACCCGGCTGTGAATGGGAACTTTAGAAATGTAGACAAAAGACAGTCGGCATATACCTTTGATTTGGGGCAGCTCAACATCCAGCACCTGCTGGAACTGGCCTTCGGAAACGCCGTCCCGATACACAATCAGCCGTTTCGGTGCCTTGCTCTGGGGGGCAACCTTCTCCACCCGTTCCCGATACAGCATGTATTTTTCGAGCAGCTCAGTGACCATCCGGTCCAGCCCATCAATCAGCTCTTTCCTCGACTCCTGAACACCTTGCACAGCAACGTACTTGGCCGCATTCGAGTCAACACTGGACACAGCCGCAGTAAACGACGGCCGGTCCGTACTTCCCGGGGCGGGGTGCATGACATCAAAGCCGATGACGGCGGTCGGGTTGCGCGGGTCAGACAGAAACGCGCTGGCAGCGGGATCCGGTATCACATTGATTCCGTCCATCTTGACGTTGATCTTGAGTGCGACATTTGCCCAGTACTGGATCTTAGCATAGCGACATTTAGAAGACTTCAGACATTGCGTCGGGATGCCTTGCTGCAAGTGGACCTGTTAGCTGGGGCCTATTGTATGATCAGTTGTTCGACATACTAGAACATCGCCCCAGCTGCAGACTACTTAAGTCATCGAATAGAGGACGTTTCGTTTCGCACACTCACTGTTTTACGTTCGTGTATATGTCGTTCCCAAAATCGGGTAATATAACCACAAACAAAGTGGGTGGCGCCTTGAATTGATCGAAACATTTTTTCCCTGCCTCTCTCAAAAGCTGTGGACGATCAGCCCGCAGGAAATGATCAGATGACATCGAGTAAGCAGACCTGGGGGATGTCGCCTTGTGGATTGACCATCTGTTGCCATGGCTTCTTATGCTGCATTTTGATTCCTGTTAATTGTCAATGAGATCGCAGCAACCTGATTTTGAGAGAGACTCCCACCTGTACTTTCGCAGCCTCCAACAAAGCCCTCTGCGATAGCGTCGAGAGCAGCACCTCCCACACGAGAGTCGCAGGATACTAACACCCAGGGCCCGATCGAAGTCGGTCGATAAAGCTTTTTTTCCATCCTATAAACTCAACTGTAAGCAAACGCGATAGTTTAGAGACAAAAACGAACATGTTCCAGGCGCCATTCCTTGGTTCCTATGTAAAGTGAGCGACGGTTGGGACATGCACGGAGGTACACAGCTTACCACATTCTTTTGCTTGCTGCCCGGGCCGTATTGAAGGACAGGGGGTTTGAGAACCCGGGCTTGGACGGTCGACTCGGACGGAGCGACGGTGAGTCCGAACTTGCGGACATATTCCGATTGGCCATATGCCAGAACCTAGGGATTATCGGGTGTATGATGCGAAATTACATGGACAGACGGACAGACGGACCTGGAAGCCCTGTCTGATAGCGTTCAATCTTTCCATCGGTTGGGGACTGGAGAACTCGACCAAACTCTTGCGCATCGTTTCCGGTAATTCCTTACGCATCTGCTGGCCAGGGATGACAGTGCAGAGTTCGAGTGGAATCAAGGCACCTTGCCCGATCTGACAAAATGGCGTCAGAACTCAGAAACCAGCTGAACGAACAACGCACCTCGACGCAGAGCATCTGCGGATTCGCCAACCTCTGACGGGACATCTCGTAGAAGTATTGGGCAACAGTCTTCGTCTGACCGTCACGCATCTGGAACGTGAGTTCGTTCGCGCCCTTCTGGCTCAGCTTGCGAATGACGCGTGCGCGGCGAGCGTTCGACCCGGCATCCTTCGTCTCTACCCGGACTCCAGCAAGGAACCGGCCTAGACGCAGACGCGTGCGATCGTCCAGCCCTCGACTGGTCAGCAGCTGCGCTGGGTTGCTTCGTGGCTGATCGAGGAATTCAAGGCAGAGCCCGATCAGCGGTCCGGGCTTGTACATCACTCCAGTAGATATGTCGACATTTATGACCATGCGCCCGACAACGGGCCGGATCGACTGGAAGTACCCGCGCCACATCTCGAGGCCGCCACCGAGCGGTCTAGTGTTCTTGTCCGTAAAGAAGGAGCGGCCTTTGGTCGGATACCGCTGGGAGGGCTCCATTCGAATCGCCACGTTCAGTGCCTAACCATACGTCAGATCATCCGCAGCCCGTCGAGCGTGTGAACGCACCGTGAGGGCTGTGCTAACGGTGTTATCAGCGGATTGCTTTCCCTGGATGTATCGATGAAGGACTCTGCGATGATGTGAGCTACTGAGTTCACCGTATCGCAAACGCAGAAGAACACACTCGGTGTTAATTGTCGCGACATGCGCGATGCGCACTTTGATGATCTTGGGGGGACGTCCTGGTGACCCAGCACCCTCAAGTGCAACGTCAAACTAGATCGGGAAGTTCAGCAAATGAAAGCGCGTGTATGATTGTGCGACGGGTTGGAACGAGGCATACCTCTCGCGAAGCTGCTGCTCCGCCAAAGTTGAGCGGCACAGGCGTGAACATGTTCTTCTGCCCGTCGAATACCGCGCGCGTCTCCGCAAAAACAGTCGGTGCAGTGCTGTTCTGAAGCGTCCGGATGATCTCCATGTTGAAGGAGCGTGGGAGGACCTTGTCGCCTGCGATGACTAGGTAGGAATTTCGTGCGTGAGCCCATGAGGGAACCAAGTCACAAAAGAATACCTACCGACGTCGTAATGGTAGATCGAGCCCTCGGGGATATCCACCTTGAACAAATTCGTTGCGATGTTGATTGGGCGTCCGCTCTTGCCATAGTCAGGGCGCCGAGCGCCAACTGTAGTGATATGGGCGGCTGTGGCAAAGCAGTCAGAGGTAGATCGACTCGATCCAAGAGGTGACGGAGAGGTACCTGGAGCTTGGAAGGTCGCCGATGGGCCCGGTGCTGCACCACCACCGCGTGGTCCTCCTCGTCCACCGCGTGACCCTCCACCGCGCGCTCCTCGACCGCGACCGCTGGGTTGCATGATCTGGTCAGTGAAAGATCGAACGAGTTACGATGATTCTAGTCTCTCGTGACAGAGGAACAAGCGAAACGCTGGTTAGTGTGATGTGGTTGTTTGTGAAGAGAAGTTGAAAGCACGTGCGATGGTGGACGTGGTTTTATGATGCGGTGGCTGTGCGATAGGTGAATGCCTCTTGTTTTGGAGGCGTTCCAGAATGAGTTATCGAACACTGACCACCTCGGCGAGTCCCCGCCTGCGCGAATCACAAGGAATCAAGGACTTCTCGCTCATGCGGTATACATCAAGGTGTGTGTGATTACGTGGGCTACGGTGATGTTCAATTTACGCGATTATGCTTTACCAGCGAGACCGCCACGAATGCCTCCGTTCGTGCTTGAGATTGCGCGACTGATAACAAATATCAGCGCAATTGTGAGCAGCACCCTGCGAAGATTGAATGCTCGTGACTAATGTCTTGGAATCCATGTGACGGACCATTCGATCCAAGCGAATGCCTCCATAGCATTCAGCTGGTGGCAGTACACGAAGAAACGTTCGGAACCACAGTTCAAGTGTCCTCCGAGCGTCTGGGTCACGGCTGATGCCGCTGCAAGCCACAGAACCCAGGTCACACCGAGGCTGGGCACGCGTCAATGAAGTCATGTCGAGCAGCCAGGAAAAGAGACGTACAAGATGAGATTCATCAAAACACTTGTAACCACCGATCCTTCCAGCAGACACGAGAAGAATAGAAACAGCAGCGAGAACACGACAGTCCATATGGATGTGAAGAGGGTGTACCGCGTGCGATCACGCTCGTTGTTGTCGAGCTGATTATGGTGGCGATTGAATTGCGCCGTGAGCCAAGCGCTAATACAGAGCTGTATAATTCCGAAAAGCGCAATCAGACCGAGAAAGACTAGCGCGAGTCAGCAATGGGAAGACACAAACGCGAGCATGCAGCTTACTCGGGTATCCCCGGCTGAGTTGGTCGTTGATGGTCATGTTGTATATCGGAAGAGGATATAGATGTGAAAGTAGAAGCCTGTCTCATTTCTCCTGGCCTTTTGCTGTTAAATATGCAAGGACCCGACGTGATCTCGGAACGTGATGTCATGTTTGCGGTGATGTCATCGTTCGGAGCGGATCAAGCCGAGTCATACACCCTTGCCTCCGCCGATCAGCGGATATTGTCAGTCTCGGTATGGAGGGCATGTAGAACAAAATTCAGGCAGAAGAAACTCCCACTATGAACGCTGACATGAATTCATTTCTAGCTTCGGATAATCTCTACCCTCTGCTGGTCATCCAATGCAGCCGGGTCTCTGAGTTGTTCGATCGAAGGCTAGGTGGCTTCGCAGATCGTTATTGATATTGTGTGAGTGAGCTTTCCCTATCAATTGTCCGAGATTGATATGGAAATAGCTCAAAGGTTCCCGCGTGGTCTTTGATGGTTCCTTCCCTCCTCTTGAATTTCAGGAAGAATCTGAGAAGATTGAGTTGAAAAGGGCAATCACATCACAAAAGCTGTGACAAAATTAGTGTAGCGGGGGTTTCCGAGTCTGCCTTGCGGGACGAAATTGTCACCTGCCGCAGACGTGGGCGACAGGCTCTACATACCGTCACTTCTCGTATTCGACAAATTGATCAAATTGATCATGGGTCGGATACACTCACAACCGCGGCCTGGTTCAACCGTCTGAACAACGAAGTGTAAGGAGGCGGAAGTAGTGACTGCTGGGTGCAGGCGTTCAGAGAGAGTCGTCTGTTTTGCGGGATTCGGGAGTAGCTCAATTCTGACGAAGGGGAGAGGTATTTCAGATGCGCTGCTGTGGGTTAGGGACGCTGTTCACTGATCTCGACGCATCCCGAGTGCTATATAGGAGACTTAGATGCCCAGCCACGTCCTCGATGGTGTAACGGTAACATAGCTGCCTTTCATTGTAGGTTCGCACATCTGCTGTACTGAAATTCGCAGTTGCCCGGGGTTCGATTCCCCGTCGGGGAATTTTTAATGGTGTGGGTAATCAACCACTATTCGCACGAACCATTGGGCCCTGGCAAGGATTCGACGTTCCCCGAAGAGTTCCGCTGCTCAGGTCGAGGACTACGTACCCCCACTATAGCTACTGAATGTGTCATGGGGAGACTAGCTCATCCAGTGCGGCACATAGGACATATCCCAATTTTTGATCATTAGAAAAAGAGGTGACCTCTGCGTGGGTGTGACATACAATTGATCACTCTTTTGTGTGGAAATGTTCAATCGTAGCATGGCATTCCGAGTCCCATGATCGGAGGGTTATTATCTAGTCAGTCCGAGTGACGGGACGGACGATTGCCTCGCTTTGTAGAAGATCAATGTGCCTCGGAAGCACGGGCTGCTGTCTGAAACTGAATCACTGATGTGTAAGCTCGCCGGACCCCAGTGCGTCTGCGCAGAGACTAGATGGGCATAGCGCTCTCACAGTGAAGGCTTAAATCAGACCGAGCGCTTGGGCTTGCCACAGCAAATCGTACACGCGTTGCATAGCGCTCGGTGGCCGTCGCAATGCACACGCCGAGCCACGTCCATGGGCTCGACAAACGAACTCCCCGAAGGAGAACAACGGCGCCTGATCGCATCCCAGCTCATCTTCATCCCGATCGGGACATGCGGTCCGGCATTGCGGCGGACCCACAAAGGAACGTCCGCATCGGGGATGAGGCACTGCAGAGTCGAGCTCGAAATCAGGCCTGGTTTCTCCCGCTTTCCCGTGGTCTTTAATTAACACAAGCTGCTTGCACTTATAAGCTGAGCGATGCCCAAGCGCTTTGCAGGCACACTTCGTCGACATCCCTCACAGCGCATCGATCTCCCTCCCCACTCTACCTGCAGTGTGAATTCTGCTCGCGACTCGTCTGATCGCGCCCACCCTCGTTTGATACTACTCATCCTCCAATGCAATTCACCTTGAAGCTCGCATTTGTATATCTCCTGGCCGGTGTTCTCGGTGAGCTCTGATCGTTCCAGATGCGAGTATATTATAGCTGATCGCTTGTCCAGCGAACACGGTGTGCGCCGCGCCGGTCAATGTGGCGGCCCGTACTATCGACGATGTTGATGCAACGGTGGGTGTCCGGTCGAGGTTTTCATTGCTCTCGTCGCTCATCTTGTGCACAGCATGCGTCTCCGGAGGTCGAAAAACGTGGCTGCCGCATGCGTTACTGCATCTGAGAGCGGGGATCATAATATCAGACGCACTCGTTCCCCTCCGTGTTTAAAGTTGGTTAAGCACCACCAAATCGGGCAGCCCTCATTATGCGCCATCAAAGCCGTTCTCTATTCTCGTCCCACTGATGTTTCCACCTTCTTTTGCCATCGATTATTGCACTTGAATCAATCTTTGTAGCTGCCCCCTAGTCCATTGTATCACTAATGTCTCCTTCCTCCCACAATACCCTTGTTCTCTGTCCTATCACTTTTGGCGACCTTACCAATGCTTCTTATAACTCTGTCTTTTTCCACTTCACTGCTTCGTACTTTGCAGTTTCCCTTCTTTATCTTCTTTATGTACTACTTGGTTGTTTCGCTCGACGCAAGCTATTTATCAAATATGCTCCTTCACATCATATAGGTTCTGGTCGAGAAATTTGGAGCAGATGTTGGCAACAGCAGACACCTCAACCAGCCGGGCCACAGGACCTGATCGGCAGATTTCCAGCTGGGGTAATGGGGAATATCGCTATGTGAACAGCGTAGTCACACCCGTCACAATGCCTGTGACTATTGATGCTCTCTGCCCGGTGCCGTCAATGACCGTCAATGAGATGCATCGCCAAAGAACAGCTTCAGCTTCGAGGATCAACGCACCTTCGGGTTCACGCCACTGGCGACACATCCAACGTTTGAGATATATCCGGCCGTAGTTGTCATTGAGCTGTCCCCCGTGCAGAGGCAATCAGATACCCAAGAGGCAGCGGTGGCGCGTCCTTTGTTTCCTGCCCTGTTCTGCGAACTCGGGAACTCACTCTCATCCTTCTTCAGGCTTCTTTGCTCGCCCCTGCAATCATGCACACCAATTCCGTGGCATTCTTCTTCGACTGCAGTCCACCTTGATGGCGACCGCGACCCTCTCTCAAGGAATGAGAAAGTGAATGTGTGACTCAGGTATGGCTCGGCGCGCTCCTTTGGCCGAGTGGCTCTCGTAAGTGCACATTACTTAGGTTCGTCCACGGTCTCATTTGGCTTCACGCGGTTTGCAGAGCACTCAGCAACGCGGGACTCTCTCTTCCATGTTCAAGGCCTTCTCCGTCGCCCTCTGTCGCCTGGACTGTGTTGTAGGAACTGCCTGCCAATCAATCCTGTCGTTCCCGCACAGCCATTTCCTGTCGTCTAGCTCAACGCCAAGTCCAGCTGCTCCGCTTGGGACAAACGCAGATCACCCGTGAAGTCCCTGAATCCGACACCCGTCACCGTTTGTGCTTCTTGAGGCCGAAGAAGACGGTCTCTTCGCTTCACTGCGCGCACGTTTCCAGTATCCCTTGGACCACCGATCCCGCCTCTGGCCCGTCTGCCCTCAAGTTCCCTCCCTCCAAAATCTTGCTCGACATCACGTCGCAAGGCTTCCATAGGAGACCTAACTCAAGTGGTCGGAGTTTCGGCGTAAAGGCACCGGCTCATTACGAGCTTCACCATCCCGGGGCCACCACCAAACAAGTCCATCCAGCGGATGAAGATCGCGGCCCCGTCTATCTTACCCTCAGGCATACGCCGTTGACCAGGCACGGTCATTTTGTATTCGTAGATTCGATGAAAACTCAACGTCGCATTCAGAGGACTCGCACATCCTTTAAACAGGGAGGCCCACCTAGCAGTTCAAGGCGAAGATGGAGATGAAGTATCCCAAGATGAGAGGGACAACGAGCTTCGAAGCACACCTGCGTCGTTTTTCAAACAATGTTCGAAGCACTTGAGTACAGGACAAGAAATGATCGTGGGTTGGTCACAAGGAGGATGGAGCACAGAATGGTGTGCGGCCCATGCCGCAGGCGAGACCTCAGGTTCGTCATATTGTGACATATTGCAGGCTCGCATAGTGTAGCGTGTGGTGTCTCCATCAGATCCCGTTCTGACGTTGCTTCCTTGCACCTCAAACCCGAGCACTTACTTACCCTTCCGGTCAACGTTACTTGCTCGTGCTCTCCGCCAGAGGCCACCGAGCACCACCTTGGGACATCCTCCCGGTTTCGTCTTTTGGGGTACTCCCTGCCAGTCTCTTCTGACGGCGCTTGTGGCCCCCCTGCCTCTGGGTATTTCCTCAGCCATGGCCATGTTCCATCCCGCATGTATTCAAGCCCGGGCTCACCAATATGCTTATCGAGCGGGCTGCTTAGCTATGACGTCATGGGTGATCGTCCCAGCTACTACGGTCTCCGACAGTGCTATTGCTCTCTCAGCAACCATCGGCGGCAACGCATTCGCTTGCTGACTTCGCCTCTCATCGCAGCCGGATACAAGATGCAAGGATGAGGGGGAGAGCCCCGCCAATACCCTTTCCTACCGACACGCAAAACACTACCACCACCACCACGATGAGCGTCGAATTCACCGTCTGCAAGGACTCAAAGACCGACGGCATCATCCGAGTAACCAGCTCGTGACCTGCGCTGACCGGGAAACAAGTCCTGGCCGCATCACACGCTCTGGCATCTGTGGCACCGACGAGCACTATAAGCACGCCGACATGGCGTTAGGACACGAGGGCGAGGGTGTCGTCGCGCAGATCGGATCGGATGTGTCGAGGTTGCGCGTGGACGACGTCGTAGGATGGGGCTACATCCACTAGACATGCGGCAAATGCGAGCATCGCATGCAGGGTGCGTTGGCTGGCCAGTCCATGATGTGTCAGACTCATTCATTGACTCTATTGGCCGGTAGGACAGGACCAGTACTGCACCGAGCACGAGATGCACGGGACGCACAGCTTCGACCAGGGCTTGTTCGGCACGCACGCGGTCTGGGAGGATCCGTTGCTGTTTGAGCAACCCTAGTGGTAGGAATAAGCCTTCGCGCATGGATCTACCCACAATTCCATATGCCTTCCGGGCCAGTTCTACCCACGGGCTGTGGGTAGAACCAGGACATTTGGGTTTGGTTTCAGTGGGAATTGAACTGATGACCTTCTAAAAAAGAAATCCCTAACCAATGCATTATCACACTGGGCCAAACTGGCTTTATGTTAAAAGCATTGTCCCTTGACAAGATGTGACGATAGGCCTAACTGTCTTAAACAAACCGCGCCCCTCTGGGCGCGGAGGTTAGCGGTTCGGGCTCGGGTTCGGGTTGGGGCTAAAGGTTAGTCCCCAAAGATGTCATTTTCTCTCAGTAATGGTTGGGAGAAGGTAGCAAAAAAAAATAAGACCTGATATAGGCTCAGTTAGGGTTGGTTAGGGTTGGTTAGACTCAGAAATATGTTTATTGGGTTGTTAGGGTTTGAAATAACCAATACTAGGATAAAGCTTTCCCTCCACTTAGGGTAAGCCGCTTGCGGGTTACCCTAAGTGGAGGGAAAAAGTGGGAACCCTATATCGGCTGTTTAGCTCAGTCTGTTCATGCACAGAATTTGAATCATTTTTACAAGGTCAGTAGTTCAATCCTCACTGAAACCGATATGAAATTTTCTGGTTCTACCCAGTGGACGGGTAGAACCGGCCCCGAAGGCATCTGAAATTCTGGGTAGATCCACGACAAAAAGCCTTTAGATTACGGTATAGGCTCGTTTGAGGTGCCAGCGGGGCTAGCACCGGAGCACCCTGCGCCCCTGATGTGCGGCGGCGCGACTGTGTTCGAGATCATCGGGAGCTACAACATCCGGCCCACGCATCGTGTGCGTGTCGTCGGTCTCGGCGGTCTCGGCCACGTGGCGGCCACGTTCGCTGCCATGATGGGTGCAGAGGTCGTCGTCTTTTCGAGCTCGGACGCGAAGCGGGAGGAGGCATTCGTCCGGGGCGCGTCGGAGTTCCACGCGACGCGGGGTGTGGGCTAGTTCGAGAACGTGCGGCTGCTAGACCACCTGATCGAGGCGACGAACTTCATTCCGTCGTGGACGCCTTACATGGCGGTGAGGGAGCGCAAGGGCACGATTTAGCCGCCACAGTCAGCAAGGACAACCTGCCGATTCCCAGACTTCCCCTTATCCTGGGCGGGATCAACATCCAGGGCTCGAGTGGGGCTGCTCGGTCTGTGCACCGGCGGATGCTGGAATTTGCGGCGGGGAACCACATTGAGCCGGTGATCGAAAAGTTCCCGATGACAAAGGCGGGGTTCGAGGCGGGCATATCCAGATTAAGAGATGGCCAGGTCCGATACCGAGCTGTTCTTGTTGTCTGAACAGAATGGAGCGCTAGACATAGAACGTACGTAGTGCACAGTATATTGTCATATTTATCAATAGGCAATGCATATACGTACCAAGCAATCGGGATTCGACTGTTCTGCTTTGAGGTAGCTCATCCTGTGGAGCGACAACATATGAACGGAGAGTCATAAGCTTGCAATAGTGGAAAGCAACTGCATCGAGCTACAGAACATACACAGGTTTTCTGCTAGGAAGGCCCCAGAACATGGCCGTGCATCGCCGAGAGATCATGATGACTGGCGTTGTGCGTTCCGACCGGACATCTTCGAACCTGGCAATCAGAGTCGTTGTAAACTGTTCCTCTCAGTGACAGCAGTCTCAGGGCCTCACCCCGGTCATTCTCTTGCTTCAACTTGAGTGCACCTGAATCAATGATCTAGTCTACAGAGACCCGTTTGTCAACTCTGACAGCCAGCCGAGTTGTCTCGTCGAAAGAAAGAAGGCCTTCTACACCGCCCTAAGCATCTGAAAGAAGAGTATGTGTAATAGCCGCTCGCGAGCCTTTTGCTGAGATACTGGGAGTTCACAGTGCAGGCGGCAATGGACACGCGCGTGCTCAGGAGCCTTCAATGGGACTGTAGACTTCGGCACAATCACCTGAACTTCAGGAGGAATAGATAGTTTGCGGATCGATGAGAACCCTTCAAAGCATTGTGGGGATGCGGATTCGCGTTCCATGAGAATTGGGAGAAATATATATTTACCCGTGCACTGCAGGCAAAGTAATTAACGGGAATTCTGACCAGTCCTTTCCGTTGATATTAAAAGTATGATAAGAGTTAGAGACCTCTAAAAACCCTGATTTTCGTAAAGCACACCGAAGAACTCAACAGTTGCCCTGTCCCCACAGATTGATGCGCCTGATGCGCCATCAACCACGCTCAGGACTCGACTGGGTCAATTGGCTAACAAAACCTCTTGAAGTAACTGCTCCATGAAAATATGGATGGTCAAACGAGGATCGGGTTCCCACAAAATTCACCTAGACCCGGACATCACTGTCCCATCATTCTGGCCCTCGAGACCGAGAATTTAAGCGTCAGAATCGGTCTCAACATCTCCCTGGACGAGCATGATATGATCCGGCCATGTATCAGGCCACACGAATCCTTACACGATTAGGCTGGAGGTGGCTGTACAACAATTTCGGCGATCTCGAGTGAGCAGCAGCAGGGGTTAGGATGAAAGAATGAACAAAGACTGCTCTCCAAGGTATAATAAGGTATAAAAATGTAAAAAGATGCTCATTCCTTCGCCAGTGCCGGAAGCGAGACCATAACATCCGGCGTCTGAGACCGAGCCAGGCGCTCCACATCGAATTTCTCCGCGTCGTCGCTGCGCTCCAACGTGAACGGCGAGATTCCGCCAGCCTTAAACAGTGACTTGCGCACATCTGGGCGCGCCATCGCAAGCTCTGGAAGGGTGCGAGGATCTGGGAAGAACCGGCGCATGGCGAGGAAAATCATCACGTTGACGAACCCTGTGCAAGTGTAGTGATGAGTTATCCTGCGCTTATGTATCGTGGGATCGGATTACCTGTAAGATTGAAGACTACGTCTGCAATGACAATGGCCCAGAAGGGAACATCGCCGCCCGCAAATGATGTCAAACGGGTAATGGTGATCGGGATCAACATCACAGTGTAGGCAAGAGGATACCTGTGATACCATGTTCAGCCTTGCGGTCTCACAGAAAGAGACGCTGCCCACCAAACCATCCGCTGAATTGCCTCCAACATTGTGTAGTCGACCAAATCTCTCCTGAGCGATAGCTGCCATGACTCTTCATCCGAGGGCAACGACCGGATGCACCATCGGCCCTCCTCGCGAAGCAGGTTGCCTCTCATGCGCAGGATGATCGCTGTGTACAGGATCATACACAGTGCCGCCGAAAGGTACTCGAGGAAGTACTCCAAATAGATCTGTTCCAAAGGGTAGTCGTCGGTAATCCAACACCTGTGCCGGTGTTCAAGTCAGCCCTCGGGTGCAGAATATATTACGAAATAAGAAATACGCACCAGGCGCCGGAAACCCCGAAATACGGGCTGCCTGGCTTCTCGATCGCAATCGGTCCGATGCATACGATGAACAGCACGAGACCCCATCCTGCCAGCAGGGATCCCCAGAAGCTGAACGCACACGCGCGAATGCGGAGAAAGAGGAGCGTGAACAGATGCATAGCCAATCCGAACGACCTTGAATGAATGATCAGATATCTCGCTCATACGCGAGGAATAAGCAGCGGAGACCGCACCAGAGTGCCGTTGCGACGTTTCCAGCATTCTTGATTCCGCCTTTCGAGCGGACGCGTCAGATGGATGGATATCCGAGTGATGATTCAGCCACACACCTTGGGCCATACAATAGAAACCGTCCTCTGTGCGACCCAACTGTGCCCATCGGAAATTCATCACGGTACCGAACGCTTGGATAAAGTTGGCAGCCAGTAGGGTCATGAAGTAACCATTGATGTAAGCATTTCCGAAATTCTGCAGCCGCAGCCGCTTGTACTATTAAAGCACAGGTGAATGAGTTATCATGCAGCTGATGGACGCACGCACCAAGAAGAATATACAGATCGAAAGCAGCGAGATGATAGCTGCGCACGCCAGCACCTGCGGACAAATGAGCGCGAGCTCAGCGTCTATTTACAGAAAGGAAGGCAACGCACGACAACTCCAGGCCCTTCCGACGTATCAAAGTGGTACATCCCGTGTTGAAAAGAAAGACGAAGTGGGATGAGCAAAAGGGCCCCTCACCAGGAGAGAAGCTCGCGAAGGGACGAGACCAGTGCCAGCCGGAGGAGGGCAAGAAGAAAAGGGCGCTCGCGGTCTTGAAATTCCGCCGACACCATTTGCAATCAGCGACTGGCATCGCACGTCAGCAATGCCCTTGACGATTTGGCGAGCGTCGGTATCGTGTATAACCAGGCAACTAGGGAACAGATCAGATAGGTATCTTGATTCCCGGGCCGTTTAATTTTCGAGAGGCACGCGACGGGCTCATGTCCGTCGTCTATATACTTGACAACAAGCAGAGGGCCGTCCGCCTTCGAATTGACTTACGTTTCGTGCAAGAAAATGCGAGACATCCGCGCGTGTATTCCGGCTCGCTATCCGTTCCCAGGAAAGCTATCCGTCCACAGTTTCCTGCGCATCACAAATAGCAAGTAAGAATATATCCGATGTCAAGGCCGCCGACAAATACCGAGGTCAAGGACATAGTGCGGGTGGCCCAAAAAGATCCATACGGACCATCAAATCAGGCAGTCACAGTGACTCATACCACATGATGGGTTGACTGATGATAGGCAAAATAGATTAGATTAGATAGGATAAAATCAGTGGGATCACAAGAATTCAAGTGAAGAGAACAATTTCGAATAAGTCATCTAACCGGGCTTCACAATTGAAGGGGTCAGAAGAAGGATAGTCCCTAAGATGTGCCGAATAGGCTTGTTGGATGATTTCAGAGTAAACGCAAACAGTGCGGATTTGAACAAGATTGATGCCCTTCGGCCAAATGCTTTGTTAATGCTTTCACGTTGCGTGTTAGAGAAGAACAGGTTCCCGGTCGCTCACACATATGTCCTTCTGCAGCCTGACACATATTTACTCCAGGTTCTCGTGCTCTTTGGCCTTCTTGCATCCTATTTTCGTACGGATAATCCGTTTCTCGCTGCAGAGTTAGAGCTGGACAAGCCCAGATCTCTGTCCGGATACTCAAATAATCATTTCTAATGGTCGATCGAGCTGAATTTTTGTTTTGTTGGCCCGATTCGACTGCAAAGTCGGAAATCGGTCAGAAACATCAAGAATCATCGGATTTTCCAGCGTTTCGGAGGTATTCCATACCGAAATCACTCGCCCGAAACCGAATTTACTCTACACTTGGAGCGACTGACTGGACGCGAAGGCATCTGGCCCTACCCGAGAGATGCCGGGACGGGAGGGCAAGCTAGATCAGTTATAGCCCGGCGGCATCCAGCACAACAGCTGCGCTGCTGTACAGAACTCAGGACTTTTTTCCCATGAGGACCACTTGATTTTCCAGCTATTAAGTACTGTGAGTGGAGATGCTCACCGTATTATATGTTGTGTCTAGACTAAGCTGGGCTAGCCTAGTCCTAAAAGGCTCGGCCTTGAAAATTCCTTGGCAAACAAGATGTTTATGTATAGCATACTTCATAATATTCGGATTTCTCGGTATGCCACTGCAATTAAGGGATGCAAAGTGCCTGAGCACCTAGGGACTGATCCAATCTCTCGGATTGGCAAGACCGACCGATGCAATCATAAATCGGAGGCCGGAGGAGGACAGGGGTAGGAAATTATGTGCACCGCTGATGATCCTTGTGAGCCAGGACTTGGACGGGCTTGCATCTCGTGGCCTGGGATCGGCTCAGAGTGGCCCCTATGCCAGGCGAGACCATGTGAACTCGAATTGGAGAGACGGATGGCTCTGTAATACAAGCACAGGGAAGAAGTCAGTGCGTCCCCGAGCTTCGCCGCTAAAGTTCTGAGTACCGCCGGGCTTCGCCAGCAGCACAAGAACGCAAGGCCTTTACGTCGTCCGGCACAAGATGATCCCCATCACACATGCCTTCGGCACGCGGGTTGTGGTCATGCATGAGCCTGGACTAAAACAAAAACTATTTGTCAGGAACCACAAATGCGGTCACGTTTCTGGGAGACTGGCAGCGCACTGACGCTGACATTTTGCCCGCAAGGCACGGGATGTACATGCTTAAGCGAGGCCTTTACTCCGCACGCCAGGGAATTCCGCAATATTTTGCGTCCGTTTTCGCCGCCGCTCAAAGGATTTGGCGTCCGAGGCCGGGCCGCGCATCTCGCGCAATGTGAGAAATTAGAATTTGGAAGAAGGTCTGACGTGCCATGTCGGCCGAGCGGATCAAAAATTAGTGGGCGGGTGCTGAGTCATGAGCGTTGGTCAAGAATGTCAGGTGATCTAGCCGCTTGTAAAGATATTGGAAAACAAAATAGGTCACTGCCCGAGCAAGTTAATGATTCCGGTGCCTCTGCTCGACCCGAATGTTTTTATAAAGTCTACAACATCTGTGAAGCGCAGGATGCTTGCAAAGGGCCAAATGCTCGCGACCGAGGAGATGGGGCCGGGTCGGGAGCGAGCCTTAGCCGGGACGTACAGCTTCATACGTAAGTGCACAGCCTCGTTTTACTCACCGCTTGACAAACGCCGATTGCACTTGACCACGGAGTCCTGACTTGCGGACGACTCATATGTAAATACATAAAAGGATGACAGGGCGCTCTTCCCCGGACCAGCATCAATCTACCCTCTCCACCAACACCTGTCCCCCCTCGATCATCTAGTATCATGGGCACCTGCACCGTCTGCGCGGCGCCATTCACGTCGCCCGTGTCCCTTCCCTGTGGTGCGTCCCGCCCGTCCCGCCGACTTTCTATGAGTCCTCTGATCCGCAGTGCAGGCCACATATTCTGTCGAGCATGTTGTCTACGCAATCTGGGAGGAGGAGACGGAACAGGATCTGAAAAGGCCATACGTCCTTGCCCCAGGTGTCGGGCTGCGTACTCTGCAGGTGTGTCTGCTGCGTCTTACTGAGCTGTGCCGGGAATACTTACTGACGAGTCCGTGCGTGCTCAGAATCGATTGACCCAGTCGTGATCTTGCCCTCCGCGAGCACGGATCTGCCTTGCTCGGTCGAGACACCCGGCACCATTCCGGCAGCATCGATGTCCGACACTACGCCATCGTCGTTTCCCTCCTCACCCTCATCCTCATCCTCGTCTTCCACACTCACACCCGGCTCCTCGACGTGCCATGCCGATCGCGAACGGCTCCAGTCTGAGCTCGCCGCGCTGCGGCTGACCTGCTCGACTTGGCAGCGGCGCGCGGAGATGCATGCGTCTGCGAACCACAGTCTGCTAGGTTTCGCGCGGGCTGCCAAGGAGTGTGCAGTCCGGTTGCGTTCCGAGCGGGATTCCGCCCGCACGCGGTGCGAGCTATTGAAACGAAAACTGGCTGACGTTATGTGAGTCTCCTCATCCCTCATCATATGCATATCCGTTATTCCGCTATCCCATGGATGCGGTGTGATAGAACATACTATCATCATTCCCCTCGCGCTTATTCTCTCCCCTTACGGAATACCGTTGCATGACGATCAGGCACTGATACTGCTTTTTGCGTTCCAGACCCGAATACTCCATCGTGCCAGCCACAGATGAGGCAGAAATTGACCGCCGGACTGCACGCCGAGCACCATGCGGATTGCCCGTCTTCTTGGCCCAGTGTCGAGCCAAGTCCGCCCCTGGCCCTCCGGATGTGAACATGTCAGAGAGTCTCTTCGGGCCGCCGTTCAAACGCAGGCGCTCAGGGGCTGCCCCGTGCTTCAGCGACGAAGGCAGTAGCAGCAGCAGCAGCAGCACCGCCGGCTCTGCGCCCGGCAGCACGGTGTCGGGCAGCACACCCCCGACGTCGCCTGCTTCGAGCGCGGCGAGCGAAACCGATGCGCGGTGCGACACAAGCCCGGAGATCTTATCCGTGCTTCCTCCCATTGTGTCCTCCTCGCTGCAGACGCTGTGCGAGGTGGCGGTGACGCACCACCGCCTGCTCGGCGACGACAATGTGCTGAAGCGCCGGCGGCCATCTTAGAGGCCAGTCTGGATTTCATCTTGGGACTTAGTATGCTATGTAAAACACACGTTATAATCCGCGACACACGCACATGCGCACACACTCATTTTGGCGGCGACACCCATCTACTTTTTGTTACACCTCATTGTACCATATGGCAACCTACATATGTATCCCTACGCATCCGACACTTAGAACAGAGGATTTTGCTGTGTGTTAGAGGATTTTGCTGTGTTAGAGGATTTTGCTGTGTGTTATATGACTAGCAGGATGACCCACTCGAAGCGCAGACGTCATTAGGGGATAGACATAATTAAAGCCCTGTCGTACTGTAAGGCCTCTAGTGTAATCGTGAATCAGAATGAGATTTTCATGTCATGCACTATCCCAATTCTGACAACTGACAACCGAGGGTCTTGCAGCCAGCCATGCTCACCTTCATACTCTTACCTGTTCATTGAATAGACTGATCCATGCCAGCACCGTGTCAAGGTGATTACTGCACTGGCAGAAAGGACGTCAAATTACTTTGAGGTCATGATTTCCGGATTTCGTACTATAGTTAGCACATCATCAGAAGTCGCTTGCATCGCCACCTGTCAAGCGGACATTGGCCCCTAATTTTTATTGGTCTTGACGCCAACGGGCAACCCTGAGGATTACATGGAGAATCGTGCAGTGTTCAGGATAAAGCGGAGTCCTGCATTTTCTCTGCACCATGTCTCATAGCTCAATTGGGTCATCTCGATTATCGACTGAGTCATGCGGAAGCAGGTCTGACCAGGTGTTGGACCTGAATCATCCGCCCTCAGACATGAGCAAGAGCACCTATAAATGCAGTGACGACCCGGGGCCTCCCTAACTCAATCAACATGCATTTGGAATCTTCCATACGCACGTTGCCAGTCCACTGCAACCTCTGCGGCGTGTCCTTCGCCGACGTATCGATCCGCGCGGCACACGTCGATGCCTCCCCTGCCCATCCCTCATGTGGGTTGTGCCACCGGCGATTCCTCAACGACAGCTCCCTCTTTCTCGTGCGTGCCTCGCCGTCCCCGTCTTTCGTTTGCTTGGCGTGTGTGTTGACTAGTTGCTTTCTTTCCAACCGTAAACAGCACCTAAACTGCGCCGATACTCACTCGGGCGCCACCGATTGCAACGAGACATTGGACGCCGACCAGATTCTTCTCGAATCGCTGGTCGGGATCGAGATCGATTTGGACAACCTGGTGCGGTACCAAGTCGACAGGATACTGGGCGACGATGAAGATTCAGGATATGACTCGGAAGACTACTGGGCGCCGCCGGATTTCGACTCAGAGTCATCGAGTGAGAGCGATCGTGACGGCACCGAATCAGAGAGCTCCATCCCGGACTTCAGCGACTCTGAATTCGACAAGCATCACCAGTGCGAATCATGCGCATCCGACTTCCCAGTCCCCGCAACAGCGGCAAGTGTTCCCACCGTGCAGTCTCTTATTATGGCATCATCAGCTGATGTGGGCTCGTTTTTAGAACGGGAACAGTTTTCTGGGAATAGCCGGCCTTGAATCTAAATCCGGGCCACCCGGGGTTTGGGAATTGCACCCTTGGGAGTCCGACGGCGGCCCCCTAGTCGCGCGCAGATTCCCCGGAGCCCGCGTCGATATGTCGGGCATTTGTATCTGTCCGGAGGAATCCGTGGGCTGCCACGACTCTGTTCAGCGAGGTGATGCTGGGCTTATCCCCCCAGATATGCCATCTTGTTTCAGCATACACAAAATCAAAAGCTACTGAGTTTTTGATATCACACGATACACCAAGATATGGGGTGTAGTCGCAGTGGCAGCTGTTGAATTGCTCGCCGAAATTGAATTGACAAAGACTTAGTCAAGGTCTTTACCATGACAAGAGAACGTGTTCGTGAAGTTCTAGCTCAGTCGCCACGGTCGCGGCAGACTGTTGAACCGCAACCGCATCTCGTCATGGGAGATCAGTGGAGCGCTAATCGACCAGCAGGCGTGCAGCAGGCAGGGCAAGATTTGCAGATCATATCAGACTGGACCGCTCGTCGATACCCTACGTCAGATAGTACGCGATTACGGACCAATAGGTAAAATAGTATTTTGGGTTTGGGCACAAGGTCCAGGATAAGTACAACAGAGAGACCCCGAGAGAAATTAGATCGCAGCGTAAACCGACGGCGAGCAGCGCGCTTCTGTCAGGTGACCGAACGGGCATAGCGTTAGCTTATCGGAATCAGCCTCGAATGTGCATGTGAGCCCGCAGACGCACATTATGACATAGTGCCTATTACATTCCGTACTTCCTCCTCAATGCCGCCCACGCCGGGCCGACTGCCGGGTTCTTGGCCACAAAAAAGCTCATGTCCTGCTCTGGAATGCGGTTGACATCGATGCGGTTCCAGTAGCGGGAGAAGCTGTAGGCAAGGTCCTGCGCGTCACGATCTTCCCCCCTGCTGGATTATCCGCGTGTCAGCGCCCCTGCGCCCAGAAAGGAGAGAGAAGCGCGCATACATCAGCCAGGCCTTTAGCTTGCATCGAATGAACTCGGATAGTGTTAAGAACGGCAGCCCCTGCAGCTTCATCGTTGTCGTCGCGTCGAGAGTTCGAGGCCCAGTCTCGCCCGCCGGAAGGATCTCTATCTGGTCGTGTGCCCCACCGTCAGTCGAAGAAGGAAGTCGGCAAGAAGAGCTCAAGCGCACATCAATGGACGGTATGAAACGTCGATAAGAGACGTGCAGTCTGGACGAAGGATGTGGGCACGGACGGAGCTGCGCGGTGAAAGAAGCCACATACCGATTTGTCCACGGAGAGAGCGACACCGCAAAGTCCCCGTACCCCGCCAGGGCACTGCGCACACGTCGAAATGCATGCGGCTGGTTCTGTCCACCCTCGACGATGCAGTATATCTCCTGCCATGAGCATCAGCCGCGGTGACAGCAGCGACGCGCGGGCATGACGCACATCGCAGACGGGACTGTTCGTCAGCGCGGCTATGAGGACCGTCCCGTGAAACGCGTGTGGGATGTCTTGGGCGCGCAAAAGCTGAGAGAGAGCCGCAGCGGCCTCGATGAGTCGCCGGGTGTCGGACATGAGTGGGCCAGGGTGGTCGATGACGGAGGGGCAGGGGATTGGGGGGGAGGGTGTCGAGGACGAGCGGTCAAGCCAAGGGCATGATATAAAGCCTAAGCGAGGTGAAGAGATGCGTTATATACGTTTCCCCCGAAAACACGTTCTGCACACACCAGACGCGAGCCGTCTGATCCACCAGTCCACAGACGGAAATGTCCGATCTAGGAAGAAGGCAGACATAACACGTTGTCGGAATTCTCAAGATGAGATAGGCCAAGTGGACCTGCCGGATCGTAAGGCACGAAGCAGGGGTGAACGATCGCTCGAAGACATTAGTCACCGTTCTAACGGACGTGCATCGACGCCGTGGCGGTGGCCTGTGGCACCGCTGTCCTCGAGGCTTCATCGCGAGAGAAGAGAGGCGAGTCAGATGAAAATTCGGCCATAGGCCGCCGAACTGCTGGGCGAGAAGCTTCGCGTAGTACCCCACAGATCTCACTGGGGATGACCCGTGGGACTAAATCATGACACCGAATTCGGCCGAAACGTGACCGATTGATGGCATCACACACGTGTCTGTGACGTACCCGGTCGTGACCGTCAGTCGCATCGCCGCCCGAATTTTTGCAAGCCGCCTCCACGTCTCGTCCAGCGCGCGGATGTTCTTGCAGCCGCAACATGTGAAGCTGCCATTCGTGTCCTCTTCTCGGGCCTCATTCCCGGCTGCCGCGGCTCGCGTGCGCGTCGGCCACGGATCAGTCCTCATAACTCACTTTCACCTGGTGGCATCATCACGCGCGCTCGATCATGTTTCGCGTGCTGGGACTTTGGGCTCGGGATGGGGGATGGTCCGGAGACATGCATCGTGGTGGAGATCAGACCGACTTCGCGCCATGCAATTCAAAGGCGACAGCCGAGTGTCCGAATACCAGGAGGAGGCGACACGAGCTGCGTTTCTAGAGAAGGCGATGAAGGGGCGCCAGCCGGCGGATCTCATGCTTCGTTGTGCGTGACTCCATACTGTGTTCCCCGCTGCTCAGCTTAGCGTCATTCTAGGCACTGTGTTTGATGTTGAAGGTTTTTTAGCCCACCATTCTCGCCGGTTAGTCCCTTTTTTGACTTTTGTCTTAGGCAATGTCAAGACAATCTCGGGCGAATTCAAGCGGTCGGATCTTTGTTCTGAACACAAATTAAACGTCAGTTGCTCACCCTTGAGTATCACGCTCGTTTGACGATGTTGTGCGCTAGCCACGGGACCTTCGGAAGATTGATTCTCGGGTACCGAACCTCGTCCCTACCATCCTCGTCCGCAAGGAGGCCATCCTCGTCAGTCCTCTGCTGTAATCGATTATTCAGCCATGTGACTTTGAGGGTGCAGGTCAACGTGCTCCACATTCGTGCCTTGGTCAAGGCGGACAGCGTGATCCTATTTGACACTTTTGGGTCTGCAGACTCCCGGCTGCACTCTGTATTTTTGTACCACCTAGAAGTCTGTTCGCGGTCCATTGATCGAAGACCCGCGATTGATAGATGAAATGTAGCACAACCTCAAAACGAAGGGGTCAGGGTCACCTTACGAGTTCCGGTGCGGCTCGCACTGTGTTCATTTCTCCTAGATCTGATCAATTCCGCAGCGCTCTTGAATCCATCCTTCTCTCGGTTGTAAGTGCTCTAGAAGCGGAGATGGTCTTCATTCGCAATCTCGTTGGGGGCCTGTTAGCCGAGTTGGAAGACAACATCGATCACGATCGGTTCAAACGATTGCTTCATTATTCGAGAAGGCTGGCGAGCTTCCAAAACCGCGTGAAACTGGTGTGTTTGATCCGTCCCAAAATCACCCAACCAGCCAGCCATGTACTCATTGTGTCATCATCACTCCAGGTTGGCGAAGCGCTTGAGGACTTGTTGACCCAAGGTAAGTCTGTTTTTTTTAGTGCTTGTTCCAACATCAACTGTTCGGATAGACGACGATCTGGTTTCTATGTATCTCACCGACAAAAAGAATGACGTAGCCAGACAACTCAATGATCACGACGATATTGAAGTTCTGCTCGAGTCTTTCTCGAAACAGGTCGAAGAAATCGTCAACGAAGCGGGGAACATCGAGGTCATGATTCCCTTCTCTGGTCACATTGATCAAACTGAACAGACCAACAGACCAACGTCCAATCGACGCAAGAGATTGTCGAACTCATCCTAGATTCGAATCGCAACGCTCTTTTGGCTCTGGATCTCCAGGTATGTCTCGACAGAGTATCAGTTCGGCTCATGGACATCGCGTTGCAGGTTTCAATCATCACGATGGGCCTTGGGTCAGGTGCTCTCGTCGCTGGGCTTGTTGGAATGAACGTAAGAATCGCCAACACGTTCATGTCCATCTTCTCACGATGCGCAATCGCAGATGACAAATCATTTTGAAGCCCATCCTTGGGCCTTCTATGGCATGAGTAGTTTCGCCACAGTATTGGCGGTAGCCGTGGCTTCCTCTGGACTTCGCAGGTGAGTGGTTGCCACCCCTCAACGTTCTGCAAGACGCTGATTGATATCGTCCCCACTAGATTGGCGAAAATTCGCAGAGTCGGACTTTCCAATCCTGAAGCCTACAATGCACGATCTGGGAAGCGCAAGCCATGGCTGCCGCTCCCGTTGCGTCAGCGTTCGCATGATGGGTGGTCGTGAGGCACCCAGATTTTTCTCCGCTCACTCTCCGATGGGCTGGAAACCACAGCATATACTTCCTGTAATGTATAGAATTGTAGCAATTATTCCATTAATCATCTTTCATCTTCTGTGAGTTGATGCGAGGTGGTTTCCATACTCTCGCTAGGACAAGCTGCGTGCTTCCCAATCTCAGTTCACAAACGCGCGGGAACGAGGTGAGCCGCATGTTCGCATGGTTGACTCGATAGCAGACTGCTCATCGGCAATCCATCCATCCTGCGATCATCGATCGCTCCTGTGTTCCAGGGACCAGTCGCCGTTAAGCTTTTGGCTGCTCAGCCCGCGTCGGCGGCGGCGAAAGACTGCGATTCTCTCGATTTGGACGCGGGGGGAAGGTTTCCAGCGGGCGGGTAAACCTTCGGTTCTTGTATGTGCGGGCGGAGTGGGTGTCAAACCATGTGCTCGGTCGCAGAGAGGCAGCATGCATGGGGGGCGGCAGCAGGGATGCCGAGTTCCCCATGACGGGAATCATGGACCCGCTCCCATCTGGCAATGCAAGAAAGGGAATTCGACGGAACAGGCAAAAATGGGAAGAAGATCACATTATTAGCGTGTGTGCTCAGCCGAAATAGCGTCCAACCCAATGCTATGATCGGTCTCGACTGGTGGCCATCCTGATGTTTTCAAGCCTGCGTCCCACCGTCCGCCGGCGAAGCTGCTGAGTAACTTGACATCGCCTTTTATCTCGTCTTCTTTTGCCCGTTCACAAGTCATCGAATATTCATACAGCCCAAGCGATGAGAGGTCGAAAACGGGTCTGCAATGGGTGGTTTTGGGTCGCAAAGACGGACAGAGAAGGGGGAAACCAAACAACGTGTATTCACAAGAGACACGAGGGACAATCCCATGCTCTTGTCGGTCTCGACCCGCTGCTCCTTTGAGCCCGGGTGGCATCGTCAGCTGACGGATCTGGTGGGTAACCGACATCGCATTTGTTCATTTGCATAATTCTGCCAAGTCACAAATCAAATATCACGTCGCTGCCCACCCTGGGATGCTGAGAAGGCGATATGAGAATTAGAAGAGACGGGCAAGTCAAGCCTGCGCACGCGCATGCGATTTTCGGAGTGGAAATCCGAGGAGGAACGTTTCAAGAACCCGAGAATCCTGTTGTTGCGGCGTGAATGATATCCCCACGGAATAATTAGGCCATGCAAGAGTGAAGTGACCACGAAAGTGTACGGATGAGTCCTGTCTGCGGCCCTGCATTATTGACGGCGAAAAGCGGGGAGATGTGATGCCTGAAGTCTAAGCGACAGGCCAAGATATCGGGCCCACCTAGGGGACCTGATAGTTTGAGGTCCGGCGGCTGATACCCTTTCATGGCACGCGGCGCGAAGGGCGGAGAACCTCTTCCGAGTGGTCCGTGCCGCGTTATTTCAGGCGTGGCCTGAAACTTTCCGGCCACAAGCTTCCTTGTGTTTGAGACGTGTTTCAACGTCGATTAGGCTCCAGAGCAGACGAGGCACTTCGGTGCCAGATCAGGCGCCGAGGGCTGGGTTTCTTCAAGGTTCAAGCTGATTTCATCTCGAGCAAGGTATTTGCGGGAAATGTTTGCCGCCGAGGGTCTTCCAGGAATCCAATTCGCAGCCGGTAGATTGCTGCACCGTTCCGAACAGACATTTTCTCGACATTTCGCGCGGCGAAGCTATTTCCATTGCACGGGTTGATCGATTGGGGCACCTTCAAGGGAGAAGCTGCCTCAACTGCGCATGCTCGGATTTCGCACTCGGGGATGACGTCATAGAACGCACAAGATGATAGGACTCGCATCTAGTCCGCTGGTCGGCCCGTGCTGATGCAAAAGTCCGATAGGCTCAGAGACATCGAACGCTGAGTCAAGAACTATGAGAAATTCAGAACGAACTCGGATCTCTGACTCACTGAGTTTGGAAATGCAGAAATGGCCTTCCTGAAAAAAACCCTAATAAAATCTGATGCTGCGCCCAATTGCCGATGGGGGTCAGAGCACATCGCTCAACCGATGTTTCATGAGTTGTCTGGTGATCCAAACGAGGGGCTGTGCACATCACGCGCTTTTCAGGTCACGGGAGTCCTCCTACCGACGAGCTATGCGGAGCCATGGGTCACGCGCGGAGAGAGGGCAACAGAAGAGCAGGCATATATTGGCGAGCAGTGCGCTACACATGAGAGCAGCGCATCCGAATGACAGACGCGTGGCGATCAGGTGCGCTCACCGCAACCCGAGAGACACACGTGTTCCCCTCCTTGCTTCACGTGATCCTGCATCAGATCAGTATTTGTAAGGCACAGCAGAGGACCGTCCAAAGGTGACGTGCCTCATGACATTGACTTGGAGCTGTTCCGCCCTTGCCGTCCAAATGCAACTGGCTGGGGGCAGTTCTCCCTCGAGCGCGACATACACCGCCCTACCGCGCACAAAGACTCCCGATTCAGCCTGACAGGAGGTGGCACCGCCGCACTGGCGGAAACAAAACTGTTTGTATACCTCGACCTCGAACTGGACTTGGCTCGATCGCTACTCCACTTCCGGGCCCTTCATCTTCGACCTGAACCATTCGCATGTTCATCCCATACCTCACTCCCAGGAGTCCCCAGAAGGGCGGCGGTGGAGCAAAGGGTGGCGGCAGCTCCTCTTCATCCTCCTCCTCTGGCGGCAAAGGGTCGTCATCCTCGTCTAGTTCCGGCACCGGCAAGGGAACTTCGTCGTCCTCATCATCGGGCAAGACATCACCCATCTCGTCATCCGGCGGCGCTCGTTCTGCAACGACTTACAACTTTGGGGGCGGCAAGTCCAGCACGATCCCTTCCGGCCAAACCTTTGCGGGGCGCTCTCAGGGCGGCGCGAATCGAAATCAGATCTGGGGGACCCGGTGCGTGCTCTTTCTCGGGTCTTCAACGCACAGCCTTATCTTTGTCCCGTGCCAGAACATACGGTAGCGGGTATCCCGGCATATATTCGCGCGGAGTCGCGGGACGCGGGTTCCCGTTCTATTTCTGGCCTGTTGTATGGGGCTCCGGAGCGGGATATACATCTGAAAATGCGTACTTGCATGACGGCGAGGTGAGTCTCGTCATGGTCTGCAATCCGTCCCCCTCGCCGACCTGACGCGCAGTACGGCGATGCAACGAACTCCTCTCGGCCCGGCGGGCCTATGGCCAGCGCGACATTCCAATCAAACTCGACGGCCTCGACATTCCACCTGATAGCTGACAATACGACTGTCGGGGACCTCATCTCTGCCATCACCTCCAACTGCTCATCGCACCTCGTCACGCCACTTCCCACAGGTCCGACACCACTTAACTCGTCAGGCTCAGGCTATGCACCTGAGCAAGTCGTGCAATACTACCGTGCGAGCTCAGTGGCGCTGACACTGGACGGGTACAACAATTCGGCGGTCTTTGCAGCCGAGAACTCGACAGCAGACACACCGCTGCCTAGTGGGATCGATCCGACGCTGCTGGACTGCTTGAATTCGACCATCGGGCAGGCGACACCTCTGATTGACGCGGGCATCATGTCCCGAGGGGCAGTCCCGCCGTTTGGGCTGTTGTTGTGCTTGATTGTTTGGGTCCAGTGGCTACTCTGAGCTGCTGCATATGCTCCGTCATGCTCTGAGAATGACATACACGAATGAATGTTTTCATGTAATCTCTCACTACCACACATGCTGTACTGCTTAATTGACACATACCCACTCGCATAACGCATTTGCAACCAAATACCAGCCTCCGTTCCAAGTCTCGAGATACTGTGCTGGTGCTACAGAGGGGCCTTTGGACTAGATCACGGAAATAGGAAACTAGCATCTAGAAGGCGCAAGCTGCAGCAAGACTACAATAGGAAATAACCTTATTCCCTAGGAGTCGACCACTCATCTCGTTACGGCTACGTATCATGCACTGCGACGAGTGGACAAGCACCGCATCCCGGCTCTGGAATTCGATACCGGAGGGGAGTCCTGACTTACTCCAACCGCTTCCGCCTCACGCTGGGGGCGAAGGCGCGAGCACATGCGTCTTCGACATTCCTCCCATAAAGTCGACGGTCTGGAGAAATATCGGTAGCTTTGGGTGCGGAGTTAGCAGACGACTTTTGCCGGCATGGAAGAACGACGCACCAGTTGCTCGTTCTTCCGTGGGGCTGAGAACGCCAGCTTCATTGCTAACTTGCTGAGGGGCGGAGTTCGAAGGGTCTGCATGGGCTCCGCTCCAGACGGTTTCATCTCCCGCTACGCACCGCGCGGGAGTCTCGTACACCACACTTTGCGAATCATCCGCGGTTAGGCCCAATCGAGAAAGTCTCCTCCACATTGCGTTCCGGATCGAAGTTTGGATCCAACATCATCCGTCTGGAAGCCGTCCCGACGATTCCTCGGTAATTCTCGAAAGTAGATCGTCCGAAGCATCTGATTGGAGTCTTCAGGAAACCCCTCGAGTGAAGTTTGCTCATTACGCACTGCGAGCCGGGTCGTTGTGGCCTTGTCGGCAAGATTACGGAATACTCTGCGCGGGCAAGCTTTCGTTGTCCGCAAACGGAACCCAGCTTGCCCACTCCAAGCGCCTTACACTCAAACTTTCGTCAGAGGCAGACCACGGCTCTTCCCGCGACTTTCAAAACGATTTGCTTCTTCGGGTTCATAGATCAATCAAGTGGCCCCGCCGGAAGTTATCCTCGCGGGCAGGAGTAGCTGCATCGGGAAGGACCGGCACCATTCATCTGGGCGATCGCAACTACACCTATTTTCCATCGACTCATTGCGGGTATGCAATATCGCGGCAAGGATGTTCCCAGCCACGCTACCGACGAGTGCGTAGTCGATTGGTAGAACTCCCATCAAATCTATCCCCATTTGGTCTCATCTCCGGCCAAGGTAAAAACCAACCAATGTCCATGGCTGTAGCCATGTGCATGACTGGGGTTATTTTTTATGGCTCCATGGCTGGGCTATGAATATGTGGGCATACAAGCCTCAGATGGCATCAATTGGACCTCAACTGCCTTTGGGGGCCAGTCCCTTTCCTTGATGCAGATTGGATACAGTACCTAACTTGTAGACATTGAGCTGGGTGTCAGTTTTTTGCACTAGTCTCCCAACTGGGCCGCTGTCAAGCTGTTTGAAGATTGGAGTTGCAGTGGGTATGGTCACTAACCTGCTAACTGTATGCATGGATTTGGCACTAACCTGCTAAATGTCTGCATGGATTTGTTGCTAACCTGCTAACTGTATGTATAGTGATTCACTCAAGGCAGAGATGTGTTTGTGCTCTCACAAGTCTCAAGTTCCAGGTATCTCTGATCAGATTTATTGGTATTCACTCTGAAACAGAACAAAGAGATTGTATACCTCTATATACAATCTGGCTGACTGGCTCCAATGTTATAACACGCAATTTTAATTTGTTGAAGCTTGTTTGTATTAGCGACTATCACAGTATGTAGACATGACATCATATGTAGTATCTTTAGATTACTTTGGCTCGCTCCACAATGACCTCATACCTGACCTCATTATTGCGTCATCCATTACTCATCTATGATATCACTACTCCACTATGACATCATGATATCTGCTCCAGACTGGTATATAAACCTAGTACTATACGCTCCATATCCTCAGCTCTGTGTCTTCTACACTCGCTGAGGTATGCATACTCTCTTATGATCTCTTACGACTCATACTCATGACTTGTACCTAGACTCTGTCTCTATAGGTACTGCTAATGTCAGCTCTGTGTCTTCTACACTCGCTGAGACTCTGTCTCTATAGGTGATCGCTACTGGTTGTATCTCCACTGCGCGGTATTGTCTGCGACAGGTTATGGGCCCCACCTGAACCACTAGTGGCAAATCAAGAAACATCGAACTACTCCCTTTACTAAGGCGAGTATCTTTCACTTGTTCAGCCCTTCTAGAGCGCCGTCTTTGTGCACTCGTCCCACTTGCTGGATGTCGGTCCTCGCATTTGTGCTCTCACCCTCAAGGGGTTACGCGAGCGGCGTCAGGGAGTCATTTAGTTGGCAGACGCGCTGTTAGCTATTCCGTCCATGATTGCTCGCGCGCGTTTTACGTTACATCTTTTTATTGTACAGCAGACATACCCACCAGGCACTGGTCCTTTGGTCAATCCCACTCCTGAACCTTGCACGAAGCGCCTAGGTGGTGTGGTAGCTCTCAACAGCTGCTGGAGGTCAATCCCTCCGCCAGGCAAAACAATCCTTCGGGGTTGGCTCGCATTCCTCACAAGGGACCCTGCGGGCTGGTGACACTACGAGGATTCATGCAATGACGCTCTGCGTGTATGCATGTCTTTAAAAGGGAGAAGATGGGCGTCCAAACCCGGTGCTTGGGACGGCCTTGGGCACGTGTCCCTTGGCCAGTGACGGACTGTGAGGGCAGTAATCACCGTCGGGTACTGCCGCCGCTGACGTATATAGTTACGTTACTTTGATACAAATATGGGCACTTACTATACCGCTTTATTTCGTTATCATTCCCGCGCGTATATGGGCATCATGGATGGGATGGGGATGCTTGGTTGTTCTCGTTTCAGAGATTTGGCACTCGGGATTTGTTTCTTGGTCTGCAGAGAATCTGGGGCTGACTTCGTCGCTCTAGTCTTCATCTCTATCACCCTGTCATCACCAGACGACCCTCCCGTTGGGGTTATCCTATTTCCTGTTGTCCGCTGGGCTCAGGGACCTTCTTACATTCCGCTTCAAGACACCGATTGGAGGGATCTATACGATCTTGGAGAACACGACAACGAAGAGTTCTTCCATCACCAAGAGAATTGGACGCCAGAACTTCGATCTCTATTTGGTGATCCTCCCTATATCGAATTCCCCTCTCTTCGATACCAAACCGCCGACGTTATCGAGTATCTCCCCACCATCTCGGGAATCGAGAAACTCAACAACTCCATTCTGAGTGTCTTTGATGGCACCAATTGGAATACGTGGTCGGACAACTACATGAGCATCTGCATGCATCAGGGCACCTGGGGAGTGGTTAAACCCACTCATATTATGGTTAACGGCACATCTACCTCAAACCCTGGTTCTATGGAGCGTCCTGGAACGGCTGGTGCAGCCAGTATCAATGGGACGTTGCCAATGAAAAGGCACTGGGTCTTGCGCGGGTTTATATCACCCAAAATCTGCGCAAGGGAATCTTTATGGACGGTCAGCGGGAGCGCACTGCGCACGAGGTTTTTGCAAAGATGGCGACGGATTATGGCCAACCAAATGCCATCGATGCTTTTGTCGAGTACCGCCTTCTGAACACCACCACCTTCCATGGTGGTGACACCATTGAAAAACAAATCATGGAAATGGAGACTCGTCGTCGCCAGTGTTCGGAAGGAGGAATCAAGATCCCCGACTACCTCTTCGCAACTCTAATGCTCGCCGCCTTGCCCGCTTCCAGCAGAGGTTTCGTCACCTCTTACCTGGCCAATCGTCCTATCACTTCTCTGAACCCAGTCGATGTCAAGAACAGCGTCATAGGGAATATCAAGATCGAGAACCTCGACACGACGTCAAACTCAAAGATTTCCACCGTTCCGTCCCTTGCCACCCGCTGCACTCATTGCAACAAATCTGGTCACGTTGCGGCATCCTGCTACAAGAAGTATCCCAACCTCAAGCCGACTGGTCAATCTTCTGACAAAGGCAAGGGGAAGCAGGATGAAGGGAAGAAGAAAAAGAAGAAGGAAAAGAAGAGCGGTGATGGTACTAGCGCTGTAAAAGAAGTTGTAGCCGCTCCCGCGGTTGCAGCTGCCTCCAATGGAATGCACATTTCATCCTATCTCATGAGTGACTCCCTCAAACACATCAATGATGGAATTTTTGTTGAAGAAATGGGAGACGACTCCAAAGTTCGTTTTCTATGGGACTCGGGTTGTACGCATCATATGACAAACACCCGATCTGATCTTCACAACATCAGACCTATCGACACCTATGTAATTGTTGGGTCGGGAGCTCGCTTCAAGAATGAAGCCGTTGGAGATATTGTGTTGCGGGGTCATACTAGTAGTGGCATGGACTACACCTTCACGCTGAAGGATGTCATCTACAACCCGCACATAAGAGGGCGTTACCTTTCTGGGTATGCGCTCGATCAGGCTGGTTACTACACCGTGGTTGGTGACAACAAGGCAATCCTAGTCACCAAGGATTGGCTCAACAAGGGAAAAGCGCATGGGGATGTCTTGATGACCTTTAAAGCAAGCAATCGCTGCTACTGGTACTACCCCGAGGAGCTCGTGGCACCATCTGTGTCTGCATCTCATGAGTCTACCGCGCTCGCTTCCCTGGAAACTACCGATCGTGAATTGTGGCATAAGTGTTTGGTCATGCGGCTCGGAGGACCCTTACTCACTTGCTGACACAAGTTGAAGGTGTTCCTCCCTTGCGACGCAATAAAGATCAATGCAGCATGTGCGATGGATGTATGCTTGGAAAACAGCACAAGCATCCGTACCCTGCATCAGAGAAACGTGCTAGCAAACCCCTCGAGCTTATCCACACTGATTTGATGGGCCCCTGGCCTACTCAGTCGTTGGAAGGTTCACGCTACACAATTTCGTTCTACGACGATTTCTTGAGTTTCGGCATGATGGTGTTCATTAAATCAAAGGACCAAGCCTCTACCGCGATTAAAAACTTTGTTGCCCTTGTAGAGCGTCAGCTCGGCACAAAAGTACTGGCCTTCCGGTCAGATCGTGGAGGCGAAT